TCAGTTTACATAGGTTAAGGCTGGAGAGAAGACTGAGGGAAGAAAAGGATGCTTAAAGCAATTAGTTAGGTTCTATCTTGTGTGTTGTAATGCCTCACAGCTCTTTAACAGTGCAGTTACGGGTGTGCATTTAAAATTGGAGGGCCAGCATTGAGTAGCGCTCTCATCACCCTTGGTGGAGTACCACTGCAGTACCAGATTCAGGAGATACTGAAAAAAACCCCATTAGGCTTTCTTTGTGGCTTGCTGAAAACGTTTCATCAAGATGCTGTATTGAAACCACTGCTTATTCCTCCCAGAATCTATGTGCTTTTTGGCAATATCATCCAAGTGGTGATGCACACTTTCTCCTGACTGAGCAGCTGGTTTTGTTGGAAAGGTTTCTACCTCCCAGTCTGTAATTGATGCTGCTCCTTTGGACAGCATTTTTTCTGGCAGTGCTTACTAGTGCTTTGTGGTTTTTAGGTATTATTTTGAAAGTTATCTGTAAGACTTATCAGTATTACAAAATTAGATGTGCTTGTGAACTCTACAAAACTACTTTGGTTTTTTGTATGGATGGGATCTTTTTTTTCTCCTGAATTAAACTTTAGGTGAAGTCTTTCACCATATCCTGTAATTGATTTAGTGCCTTGTTGTCTGACTTGCTTCTGTTTTCTTTCTTACTCCCCTCTCTGTCTGTTCTTGTGAACCTAACCATTGTAGTACATCCATCAGAGATCTTTCAATGGAAAGAGTCATCAGGTGACTCCAGCTGTGAGTGATGTTGGCAGGGTCTAATTTCCTACATCTAAAAGAATCCCTGTGTTAATAGTGTTTGGCTAGGAAGGAAATATGGTTTGAATTGCTGCTTCTTGGTCACAGAATCAGCTAATAGAAATAATCCACCTCATCTTCTGGTGAGTAGAATGAGATGAGCTCCCTTGTCAAATACTGATCATTTTTTAGTTTGGTTGTATTTTGAAAGACACTCTGTTAACTGTTGTGCAACTTCCCTCTTGCTGCAGCTTGAGACTCCTTTTGTGATATGTGCATTTGTCTAGCCTACTGTGCTAGACACATGCATCACTGATCCATTGATGAGAAGAAAAAAAAAAAAAGGAGTACTGTAATATTTTTGAAGAAAAGTTTAACTGGATGAATACTTTTGTTTTTATTTCTCTGTTTTTCTTATTATGGATAATCAGGTTTCAGGAGTACTTTGCCCTCCAGTGTTTCCATATAATTATATTTTTCACTCCCTTATAACCCACATTACAAGGTTATACAGATATGAGCAGCTTTTGTGTCAACCACTGTGTTAAAGCTGAACTTGTGGTAGTAAAGGAGCTGTTAGACAGTGTGTCAGGACCAGCAGCTTGTGGAAGAAATGGGAACCTCTTTTCATGAGAAGATGTTTGAAACCGAGGACAGCCCAGTACTTGAGTTTTGCTCTTGGAACTGGCCATTCGGGAACCTGTATTTTACCTTCAGGTGGAGGACATTTGCACATGTTATCTTTAAGCAGAGACTCTATACTGTCTGGATGGTGAAGGTATTAGATGTTTTCTGTTTGTGTATCTTCATGGTGAATACTCACACAATGTGGATCATATTTGTGAACCACCAAAGTGAAGAGGAGGCACAGAGACTTTTAAAATATTTTTTATCATTCAGTTACTTCTGAATATATGCCATTTCATGGACTAGCTGAATAGTTTTGGAAAAGGCAGGTCATGTTTTTAAGCTAATCATCCCTCAGTTAGGGATGCTAGTGCTGTAGTAGAAAGCAGGGCATTTTAACTTTGCATGTCAGCAGAGTGAACCATGACCTCAGAGCTGTCCATTGCAGACTCCTTGCTAGTCAGGAGAGCTCTTGTGGCTCTGCAGGAGGGTAGGTAAGCAACACTTTAGGGTGAAAGGACACCAGGTTTTATTTCTGTTCTGCTACTGTGTATTGGTTTTGTTTATTCGCATCAGTGTGAAGTTAGGGCTGGAATTGAGACTCACAAGAGTTTTGGTATTTTCAGACTTTTATTTTTTTTCCTTTCTGACTCCACTTATTGCTGTCTGACTTCACACTGCTATTCTGAGCTGTCACTCATTATTCCTGTGCAAAGTAGTGGTGCCCAGTGTAATTTTTCCTACAGCTTTTCTGGATTTTGCTATTCTACCATTACTCCCTGAGCTTCATTACCTCGGCAGTTGAAATCCCAGGCAGATTTTATTCCAGCATCATTGTGGGCTGTCGTGAAGAGGCAGCTCCCTTGTTAAGTTAATGACCTGTGTCCTGCCTTCAAGGCCTTCTTTTGCTGTGCAGCCCTAGGGTGGTGCATAACTTCAGTATGAACTGTCTCTGTCGTCTTGTCATGGCTCCTCACCTAAGGATGCAAGTAGTGTTTTACTGTCCTTGAAGGCTCTTTTTGCTGCCTCTGTGAGTCTCTGCCAGCTGAATTGCTACTTCCTTCCCTTTTCATAATGTAGTTGACAAAATTGCTTTCCTTGGGACAAAGGAATAGCACCAATCAGCTCATTTGTGTTTTATTTTCTGTTGTAATTTGCTGCTCGAATCTTTGCGTCAAAGTTTATCATTCACTGTTCCTCACTTCTACCTGCCAACATGTTTATATGTCTTTTTCAAGGCCACTGTTCTCAGCATGCTGGTGGCTGTACTCCTCCATCGTGGTATCACTCGTGGCACTTTCCTCTGTGCTTGGTGTTTCTTGCAGTGCTTTGGTGACCATTCAGGTGCCAGAGGAAGGAGAATGCTTTTTCATGCCCACTGAGCATCACCAAACATGACCTTGTTAGTACATTCAGCTTTCCTTGAAGTTTCTCCATCTGTTCATAACATCTCTCTGCAGACTTTTGCCTGTGTTCTGGGTTTCAGCTCTTGTTGATGTGCTTTTGTCCTGGTTTCACCTCAAGCAGTCTTTACTGGAGTGAAAACTGCCCTGCACTGGAAATCCAAGTGTCTTTTTCAGCTGCTTTCTGTCCTGTTTCCAATCTTGAATGGAAATCTCTCCTAGGAAATACCTTTCTTCTCACTTGTGTTTTTGTAATGCCGCCTCTGCTGCTTTCTTCCAAGTGCTTGGGAGACAAGTTTTCTTGTTAACACAAATTTGTGTTACAATATAGTTATTACAGACACAACTAAGACTGCTTACTTGGAAGAATTTTTTGTTTGCAGCAAGTGATTTACAGGACATAGTTGGTCAGGGTGATGTGTCTGTTCTCACGCATTAGGAACAGCATGTTGAACCTGAATGCTGTATTGGCTTGCTCACAGCATTTTGCTGGATGGAGTGCTCCTCCCAGACCCCTGCAGTTAGATATGGGGAAATGCTAAGGAAAGGAAACTAGCCAAGGGACCAGGTCAGAGAGCTTTTAGATAAAAGGAGAAAAAATATGGGAATCAACAGGCAAAAAAACCAAGGAAAGAATTAAATCCTCTGAGGAAGGGTACTGGCAGTGGTCTCTGCACATCTGTGCTACTCTATCTTCTGGGTTTGAGTGTGTTTGCATGCACATGGAAGGGTGCCTGAGCAAAGGAGAGTTGCAAGGAGGAGTAAAGAAGCGCATTAACAACATGTGCAAAAGCTGTTCCATATGTGCCCAGTGCTAGTTTGAAACCTTCCCAATACAGTGATGATGGTAGTTGATGTCATGCATTGATAAGAGGTGCAAACTGACTTCTTGATACTGACAGAGAGAAAATGATGATGCTGGGAAAATCAAGGCAGGTCACTGTGTTGTATGGGGAAGAGAATGGAAGGTAGGGAAGAGAGGCAAAGGTAACATTAAAGTGACAGAGCAGGATAATGAGATTTTTCTTGTAACTATGAGAACGGTCAACGCTACTTTGGTCAATACTCAATTACAAGGTGTTAAAGTGACTGAGACCTGGTCTTGTCTCAGCTAGTTGCTTTACTTTGGTGAATCAATAGGCAAAGATTATAGATGGTCATGTGAAGAAGACATCTTGTTCTAGTCAGGATGTGAAGGCTTAGGAATTGAGTGAAAGAGAATTGCTAACTTGTGACTGATTGGCAGAGGAAAGAGTGATGTTCTGCAGCAGAAGAAAAAACCAAAAAAGTATGGTTTCTGTAGCCATATGAAGTTTCTTCTCTTGGGTTACAATAGTGCCTAGGTATCCAAGAATGTTGAAGAAATGGAGATTTTGATTCAGGCAAGAGGAAATGGCACCATGCTGAGTGCATAGATACAATTGTTATTGCCTGTATGTAACATGGGGATAAGAGAACAGAACCTCAGAGATCCCAAAATATCAGGGGATAGTGGCCCATCATGGGCCTGGGACATGGAACGGTAAAAGATGAAAGTTAATTTAGGTAAAAGGAGCAGAATTTAAGAGGGATAGCTGAAGGTGGATGAAATATTGAGAAGCGGAATGTGATCAAATATGTCTTTGGAAACATGTGACTTGCTGGTCAGAAAAATGAGACAAGAAACTGGTTCTGAATTTTGGGTAAGAATTTGCAGTGTAAGTCAGAATGAAGAGAGGAAAAAGAAATAACAGAAGAAAGAAAGAACATTGTTGAGCCTTACAGATAAACGGCAGAAAGGGGGCCAATGGTACTGACATGCAGGTAGAGTCAGAAGTCAATTTATGGATTGAAGGCTTGTTTTGGGGACTCGGAAAAACGTTTGTTTTAGGAAATAATGGATTGGGAGAGATGCCAAAATACAACCATGTAGGAAAAAGTTGGCAGATATGAAAGGAGGGTACTGAAATATTAGAGAGGAAGAATGAACAGGAGGTCAAAAATACTCAGAGCTTGTTTTGACGCTGGAGAGGGGTGAATATATGTGCAGGACACCCATCTGTTCCTTTGAGATAACGGAAAAAAATAGGTCACTAAGGGAGCACACAGAGTAAAGGGCATGGGGAATTAATAGACTGAGTAGGTTGAGGGAGAACTCGGTTGTGTGCATGAGTTTGATTTCTGAAGTGTCATATTTGCTCTTTAAATCTTCACTTCTTGATTATGTTTTTGCAGTGCGACTCCATGACAGTATTTCAGAAGAAGGTTTCCATTACCTCGTCTTTGATCTGTAAGTGTCTGTCTCTGATGCTTCATCATAATGCAGGCACATTGGTGGGTGACTAAGAGTGGAATAAAAAGCACTTGCATTAGGATAATTCTCCCTTTCTCTTTTGAGACCTGTAAATACTTCTGGCCTATCTGACAAAAATCCATTGACTGTGTGGTGGGGACAGACCAGGAAGGCTTCTGGTACCAGGTGTAAGTGTGGGATGGCAAAGAATGTCTATCCTGTGTATGGAGACAGTTTGATTTTTGTCTCTGAGGCAGCCCAGCGGGGGTCAGAGGAGGGCTGTCCTTTGCAAGCTCAGCATACACTACGCTCAGCAGAGGTGTGTGGGCAGTTCATGTGCAGTGTGTCAGCAGTGTCCTGTACACTGCTGGTCCAGGGGCTCAGTCATGTGGCTGTAGCCATGGTGGTGGAGCTCTGCCTGTAAGGCAGCATCCCATGCAGGCTGTGGCAAAGGGCCCGGGTGGGTGGCCATATACATCCTGTGCAGCCTTTAACTGCACAAGCATGGGCTCTGTAACATCCTTTGTTCTTTTGCACTCCAGGGTTACTGGTGGGGAGCTCTTTGAAGATATTGTTGCTAGAGAATACTACAGTGAAGCAGATGCCAGGTAAGGCTGTTTCCAGACCCTTGCATGCATGTTCCATATACATGTACAAGTGGAATGAGTTTCCTGACTGCTGATCTGCCGTGGCTTTGTTCTAACACTCTTGCCCCTTGTCTGGATGAAACAAATCCTCTTTCTGCTTTAACATGAACTTAATTGTCACCAGACAGCCTGACTCAGTATAGCTGTAGACCTTGCCCGCTTGCAGACATTGTTGTCTCTGTCACTTGCACATTCTGTGCTGTTTGCTGGGAGAGCCACTGCTGCAGCTTTGTCTACCTGGCCTTTTTGGTGGGTGGTGACAGTGTGTCCTTACTAAGCAAACATAAAGGAGAGTTGTGAGGGTGCTGCCTGCTTGGCTTTCTTTTTCTAGCATGTTTCCAGTGAGGTGCCACTGCTGTTGGGCAGATCCTGAGTCTAGGTAATGGTTTACAGGGCAGTGAGGAAACGAGGCTTTGAAGGCTGTGTTTTTGTGGAAGTCTCTGACTGACAGTCAGCTGGTCAGTGCAGTGACAGAAGGCACAACATGAGAGACCAACCTTCATATTTTAATGTTAAAAAGATTTGGAGTTATGCCCTTCTGTTCCTGAATGTATCCCCTCTCTCCCACATGTGAGGTTCCTGAAGTGGCATGTGCATGTCCCTGTTTATACAGGGTGGATGTTATGTGCAGCAGTAGCTGAGGGTGTTGTCTGACCCATCCATCTTCTGGACATGCAGCATCTGGAATCAAAGCCAGGATTAGGCCACTCCTGTTCTGCATTTGCATGGCCTCGGAGTGGCCCAGTGGTGACATTTCACTCTGCTGACTGAACACCCAGTCATGTTCTTATCCCATACTAACACTTGCTGAAGCAGAAATCAGGGGAGCCATGGGAAGAGAGGTGTAAGAAGGAAGTGGTGGGTACTGTGGCAGGTTGAGCTTGACAGGCAGTACTTTAAGGACGATGATACTGAGTGCAGGGAAGGAAAGAGAGTGTGACCTGGGGTGTTGGTGTAGGTACTGCTAATGGAGTCTGCAGGCACTTATTTGCTTTCCCCGTGGTTCACTTACAGTGTCTGTCTTCTGGTCATTACAGGCTTTCAAATGAGGCACTGCCCTGCGTGCTCTGCCAGGAGCCATCTGGTGATTGGGAAGGCCAGTGAACTCATCAGCTCTGCTGGAGCTCCTGGCAGAGAGATCTGAGAGCCCCATAGATGTTTTCAGTGGGGTGTACAGATCTTGTAGGCACAGCATCTCCGATGGATATGTAGTCAATCATGCCACTCTGCCTTGAAGTTGGGAAGTTTTGAGGTTATCAATCACAATCCTTCCCTTGTTCCTCTTGCCAGTGCGTGTTCCCTGAAGTGCTCAAAAGCTGTCAGTGACTGACACTGTTTGGGAAAATTATGGCAGGGTTAGGGGAAAAGGAGGACTATCTGTTGCTCTGTGAGCTCTCCTTAGGGTGCTCAGGCCTCTGACTGTCAGCTGGTCAAGTCTCCAAGTGCCCGTAAGATGACAGAGTGAAACTCCTCCCTTTCTCTCCCCATGCTGTGCTGAATTCCAGAGCAGTCTGAGAGAGCGAGGGAGCGAGGTCTGTGCCAATCTGCCGTGTTTGGCTCGCCTGGGACACCTCACACTTTTGCCATTTTTGGCCAGAAAATCTCTCTCGCTCAGACTCAGCTCTGTTCTAATTATACATTTTTGTTTTGGGAGCAGGGAGATTTTCATGGATTCCGACCCTGAGGATCAGACTGCTAGCTCCAGAGGGGCGGGGGTAGCAAATACACAGTGCTGTACCTCCTCTCCTCTCCTCTTCCTCTCCTCACCCTCTTCCTATCTTTTCCTGTAGCCTTTTTTCAAATATTTGACAATAAAAATTTTCTTTCAAATATTTCACTAATTTCAAATTTGTTCCTCTGAGATTTGTAGAAGTCAATGAAGGGTCTGAGAGATCCTACAGTGAGGACATAGACCTCTCTGAGTTGTCCACATCTGCATGGTTGCTGCCCAGCTATACTTGTCAAAATCCCTATTCCATTCCTGATTCACCCTTGGGAGCCAAGTAAGAGTTTAGTGGAAGAGATAGTTGCAACCTGGAATCTCACCCATGGGTGGATTGTGCTGTTGTTATGCGACAGGTGTAAATAACATCTTGTTTTTGTCCCTGTGGTTTACAGCAGTGGGAATGGCAGAGACAGGGTTTTCTGTGAGCTGGGGGAGTGCAGAACGCTGCACTTAACGGAATGAGTCTGCTTTTCAGATTACTAACCCCTTAAGTGGGATCTGTACTTAAAAGGCACCCAGCAAGCGGGTGTGTGTGCACATTGTGTATATAAAGTGCTTGAGATGCTGCTCTGAAAGCTTTGCAAACTGGCAGGCGCCCAGGCGTCGTCATTCTGAATTTTCTGAGGAAGGCTGCTGTTCTCCCAAAGTTTATTCTTCGCTCAGGACTAGCCCAGTGGAATGTTTCCTGGAGTGATTTGGTCTTGCTTGCACAATTTCAGCTGCTGTGCTGAAATACTTGGGTGCCTTGGCTGTTCTGTGTGGGGTGGGCACTGTTGCCTGAAGGAACAAGTGAGAGGCTTAGTATGATGGGAAGGGAAGGAAGGAAATGATGGGAGGTAGGAGTGAGGCTTTGTGGTCCTGCTACAGAAAGGATGTTTGGCATCTTGTTGCTGGGAGGGCTGGGGTTATTCAGCTGTGATGGTGCTGAGCTGTGGCATCCACTGCTCACGATGAAGAGATTCAGCATGAGCTCTTGAATGCCTCCTAGTACAAATGTAAAAGTTAGGGAAGTAGTTCTGGGATGAGATGAGATGTTAAATATGTGTGCGTAACTTTGTATGTCTCTCCCTTTTATCTTGCAGCCACTGTATTCATCAGATACTGGAGAGTGTGAATCACATTCACCAGCATGATATCGTGCACAGGGACTTGAAGGTAATGTTTCCTCTGTGCTGTAGTCTGAGGAGAGCAGCCAGGGGATCATTGGAAGAGGCAAGACAGGAATATTGTGTTGCCAGCTGGCAGAGATTTTTGTGTGGGCTTTTTTGGGTTTGGTTGTGTTGTTTGTTTTATTTTTTTTTAATTTGAACTGTGTTCAGGGGTTCCTGAAGCACAACTTTGCTTCTTCAGAGTTTTCTAGAGGGCTAGAGGATGTGCTGAACTCCCAAGGAAGTTTTCAGTCTTTGTGAACCTTGCCAGCTCTCAGCTTCTCTGAGGCAGCTCCAGGATGTGGTAGTTGTGAATCTTGGAGAGGAGTATGCTTCCAGAGAAACTTGGGAAGGATTCATTATAATGAAGGAAACTTTCTAGTTTGTGATTGAAGAGATCTCTAGAGACCTGGAGCAATTTTTGTTCAATCTGCCAGGATGAGTTTGTCTGCACACAGCATGTATATTTTTATTCTGCAGTGTTGCCAAATACATGCCACTGCACTAGGGCAGAGATGTTCAACAAGAATTTTTTGTGTTATTTCTTTCTTTTCTCATCAGAAGAAGCACTTTAAATCTAAAACCAAAATTGCTGGCCAGTTAAAGACTGGATGAATCAATCATTTGACACATGATAACACATTTATAGCCCTAAGTCTCCCCAGTGGAGTCACCTAAACTCCCCAAACTGTGCAGCTGTGCTGGGAGCTGGGCAGGCTCCAGCAAGAAAAGATTTGCATGGGAAAGTCTACATGCCCTGGAGCCTTCTCTGTCTAAAGTGGCAATGGTGATGGCCACCAACAGTCCAGTTAAATTAATGCAGGATGACACCTGCTGCTAGTGTTGGTTTGGGCTTGTTAAACAATGTACAAGGAGGAAAGTAGAAAAATATTTTGCAGAGAGCATGGTAAAAGCACATTGCAAGCTTGGTGGCAGTGTTCCTCTGGTGTTTTGGTCTACTGGAGAACCCTTTGTGTTTCTGACAAACTCTATGCAACACTTTTGACCTTCTGCTTCACTACATTGTGAAAAAATACAAATTATCTACTGTGAACTCTTGGCTGCTCTTGATTAGATACAACACCAGTTCCTGCGAAAGCAGCATCCAAGAGGCACTACTGCCCAAAATTAGGGAGTCTATGAAAATCAATAATGTTTTCCAGTACAGAAGAAGCTTTCGTTGTGTTCAAATATAATCTGGTTTCCTTCAAAAAGTTTTGTTTGTAGAAAAGCTAGCAACTTGTTTAGAATTTATCAGCTTCTAGACATTCCCTACTGTAGTTAATATGTTTCTTCTGTTGCTTGCTCTGATTGACTGAAACTATCCAGGCCTGAGGAGTAACCATTCCTTTTAGCAATGAAAGGTCCTATGCTTTTTATTTAATATTTAGCTCCTCTCCAAAAGCTTGACCTTCAGCGTCAGTGTGTAATAACTGTAGAGCCTGCTTCAAGTAAAGTTTTGTCCTTTGTACTCACTCTCATAAGCCTGTCTTTTGGCTGACATGCTATTAAAGAGTGTCAAATATTGATCTTCCTATAGGGACTGTAAGAAATTAGAGAGTGCATTCACATCCTCACCAAAAAGTATGTTAAACCTGAGACAACCCATATGTTGGCAAACATGCACATGGATAAGCACCATTGGCCTTAAGGTGTTTGCTTCTAAAATAGAGGTACAAAGTGCTTAACTAGCACAAGTCTGTCTTAAATGTTGCTCTTAGTCAAGCTAAGTCTAGGTGCAGTCTGGATTTGAGAGGGATTTTCAGAATATTTAATTGATGTTCTGCTTTAGGGTCTTGTTTATAGTGGTGAATCTTCATTAGTGTAACTTGATTACCACAATCTCTTCTTCTTGCCATATAGTGAAAAGCCAGTGGCATCCAAATGTATCGAGACCCAGCTGTCCTTCCTTCCAAGCTGATTATGGCAAGGACTGTGTTGAGGAAGGCTTTTCTGCTTTCATTCAAAGGAGTAGGCACATGCCCAGTACTTTAGGACAGATGAGTGAGCAAAGCACCTTGTGCCTGTCAGGCAGAACAGGGGTAAAGAGTGGCTATGGGGTGAAAAAAGTGAGCAGGCTGTAAAAAAGATCTTTATCAGATTTGTGAAACTGAGACAAGCTCCTTTTTCTGGATTTCCAGGCTTCTATCCTGCTCAGTTAAAAAATCAACTTGATAACAAATTGCATAAAAGATGAGAAGAGGATAAGATGAGAAACCACCTATTTGTTTTGACCTGCCTATTTTCAAGTTGATTTTCCAGCAAAGCCATAATAGCCATCACCTTAAAGGCTTTGGGGTTTCAAGGGGTCCCATGTAACTAGCTACTCTTGTGCTTCAGAGGAAGCTGCCAATTCTCAGTCCAGTTTTTGGAGCAGTGTAAAGGCTTCTCCTGAAGTCCTCTGCTGGAACATAACAGAATGATGGTTTGAGTGAGATTCATTCAAGGTGGAAATGTGAGGGTCAAAAGTCTGTCTCCCTTTCTTGGCACATGGAAAAAGTGACAAGGTTGCTTCTTGTATAGGTGATGGCAGCAGTAGCAAGACAGAATATTTTATGCTGCTGTAAATATGTAGCATGAAAAAATTGCTTACAAGAATACTCACTGCTGTGCTGCTTATGCCAGTTTGAGGCTTTTTCTGTAAGGGATGAAAACTACTGCCTAGCCAGATGATGCCTTCCCACATTACAGCAGTATATTTGGCAGCCCTTATTAGCATCATATTTACTTTTTCAGTGCCCTGGGGACTGTCTAATGTTCAAGGGGAGAAACATCACTGCAGATTTTATCTCCTGCGTTGTCCCTCCCTTCTTCCCCGCTTCCCTTTCCCCTCCCCCCAGTTATCCTCTGAGGAGGGCAGAATAGAATTTTGGCTTAAGTGCTGCAGGAACTGTACTGCCAGTGCCCTCTGGTGTCAGCATGTAATGTATGGGCTGGGTTGGAAGAGGCTGTCTCCCACAGAGGAGCCAGAGGATTTATGTTAGACTTGACGATTTACTGCTGCTCTAGGTCAAGGCCATTCGTTGCTGTTGCTGTGTCCTCATCTGAACAGGTGTAGTACTGCATGCTAAATTCAGTCAGCAGGTGCAATTTAGTGATGTGAATACTAGGTGAGAGGTTTTAAACAAGGATGTCAGTCTTTCATTCTTACTCTTTTTTCTTTCTTCTCCTCAGCCTGAGAATTTACTACTAGCGAGTAAATGTAAGGGTGCTGCTGTCAAACTGGCTGACTTCGGACTGGCTATAGAAGTCCAGGGAGAGCAGCAGGCCTGGTTTGGTAAGACTGTTTGAGCTTTCCCAGCTTTGCTCCCCTGTTTTCTGGTGGCTGGTTGAGTTGCATCCTCCTGAGTACTTTCTCTCAGCTCTTCCAGCACACTTCTCTGTATTTGGCTGTTTCTTTGCCAAGCATGACAGCCTCTGTGTCTTAGGCTCAAGCCTAGGTGCAATAGAGAAGTAATAAAGAAAGGCAGAACAAATGGCTGTGTTTCTCTATTTTTCTTCTCAGTTTACAGTAGATGCTAGTATCAGAGATGAATGCAGCTGCTAAGTTTAGACCCTGATCTGAACTTTCCTACTGCTAAGAAGTGTAGACATCTGGAATTTTGTTTGGTCACTTTACAGAAATGCGTTTGACCTAGCCTTCCTCAGGCACATTTGGATCTGACCTTATCTTTGTTTAGCTAAAATATAATTGGAACTGAGACCTTTTCAGGTTAAAAATCAGCTCTGATACTCTACAATGCTGCAGAGATTCTGAAAAAACAACTTCTCCCGGTCTCCCCCTATCACTCGGCAATCAGATGTGTTCCATTTGTGTCTTGTGTTTTCAAACTCCAAGCCATTATGTGTAACAATGATATAAGGCCTGGCATACAAGTTTGTGCCCACCTGGCTGACATGGTCCCTCTTACTTGTCTGTTTTTCTTGCAATACACAGGCACTGGATCCCATCTGATTTTCTGTTTTATTTTGGTGTTTCTTGCCTCTTTTTGTTGGTTTACCAAGAGACAGCTCAAGCAAATAAGAGATGAAGGGTGGGAGAGACAATTTTGGAATTTGTTAGTTATCACTAGTGGATTTTGGGATATGGCAAGCTCTCTTCTGCTTGGGTACTGTTAGTACTTCATGTCATCCATTTTCTGGCAGGGTTTGCTGGTACTCCAGGCTACCTCTCCCCTGAAGTCTTAAGAAAAGATCCTTATGGAAAACCAGTGGATATATGGGCATGTGGTAAGATTTGAAAAAATGTTTTACACTTAAACAACATCATTCCATGTAAAAGAGTGATTCCATGTAGCCTGTTGCTGGGAGGGTACAGAGTGCTCCTTTTTACTGGGTGGACACATGAAGGCACAATTGAGGATAAGCACCTTGCGTAGATGGAATGTATACTGGAGCCTGAACTCATTTGATTCTGGCTCCTAATCTTTTCCTTGGGCCATCTGTCAGATGTATGAGACTCAAGAGATAGGATCCGTCTATGCTTTACAGAGTCAGTTGTTTAGATAACTGTAGTAATTTCCTATTACACTAACTATGTAGAAGATGAAATACTGAAGTGGGATGATTTTTTAAACACAAAAGAAGTAAGTGTTAATGTATCTGGGACAGATAAGTTTAAAGATTTATGATCTCAGTGTTGCCTGACATGGACTAAACGGTTCACGGCAGGCCAGGAGTGTCAGCTTTGTCAGAGTCATTTTTGTCCCAACACCATGTACAGTAAGCATCTAAAAAGAGAGTCCTTCCTAAAACGTCCCTTGCTGCCCAGGAACCCTAGGAGATGTGGCTTCATCTTACTCTGAGGGCAGCTGGGAGTTGTGGCTCGCCAGCCATGGTAGCCAGAGGAGGGTAGAAGGACATTGTGCAGGTCGTTCTAGCTCCTGACACTGGCGTTAAGAGCTGAACATCATGTGCCGGGATGAGGTCCAGCAGATGACAGATTTGTAGTGTGTTTTGCTATCTCAGAAGACTAAATATGATGGCAAATGAATATATGGAGAAATCATTGCCTTGGGGACTGTCAAGAGGGAAGGAAGAGGGGCTGAAGGAATAAATGGCACATTAGCCTAACCATAGTGTATCTGTGTCTCTCCCTCCCAGGAGTGATTCTGTACATATTACTAGTGGGGTACCCTCCCTTTTGGGATGAAGATCAGCACAAACTCTATCAGCAGATCAAAGCCGGAGCCTATGACGTAAGGGCACTTTCTTGCTGAGTACCTGCATGGGTGTAGAAGCCATCCAAAACATGGCACTGTCTTACCTGGCATCCTGCAGCAGGCCCAAGCTTCTGTGCAAAGTGACGTTGGACGTGCTCATACACCTGGTTGTCTTCACTGCCTGGGATACAGTCCTGTCTGGGGCTGCTGGAGGGATATGAAGGGAAAGCATCACAGTGGGCACTAGAGCATTGACGCTTGCTAGGGAAATGCAGAGGGTGGGAAATTATCTCCTCTAGTAATGCTGATATTTTCAGTGGAGTAGAGGGGAGATAGAGTGAAGGAGCTTGTCTTTGTCAAGGCCTAATAAAAATATGGGGATGTATTCTGTAGAATAGTAGCTTAAATTATGGTCCTTTACTCCTCTGTGCTGTAGTCTATGGAAAGCATGGTGTCCAGTGAGAAGACTGAATGGTGGGGGACCATTGGAGGGCTGGCTTTGTGCTGGGGATGAGCATGGTGGATTGGGTTGGAGGCTCTGGTAAAAAGCCAAGCAGATCATGGAACACTTCCTAGAGCACGGCAAAACTGAGGTATAAAAAGTGCCTTAAAGAGGAATAGCAAGGAGGTTAGTACTGAGGGAAGCAAAGGTGAAATAAAATGTAGTTTGAGTACCACAGCTTTAACGTTTGACATAAATTCTTACATGTATGGAGAGGCTTGAGAGGATAGAAGGAACTCCTGGAAATCCTAGCTCAAAGCCTGTGGGCATGAATATCAAGAGGAAGTTGGGGAGTTCTTTTTGTAGGCTGTCTTGTGGTTTGTATTAAAAAAAATAAAACCCCAAAAGGTGAGGGGTCTGCTGGACTCCTTCTGCTGGTTACCTCCCCGCTTCAGTGCTTGAGACCATGAGAGCAGCTGTACTGGTGAGAACAAAAGTCTGCCTGTGTCCTGGCTTTGTGGCTTTCCTGAGTGAAAGCAAAGTGATGACTTTGTACTTGATAGCCTGGAATGGTCTTGCCTTGCTGCCCCTCCAGTTTATGTGTTGGTTGTTCTTATTTAAAGAATTTTTGCACTAATTATATCAATGGGGATTTTCAAAGCACTTCAGGGATTAAATACCTCTTTCTGTAAGTCATGAAGAGTGAAGTGCCTGATTCCTCCTTGCCTATCTATTGTTTTTGAATTCTCACCTATAGTGAACAGTTTCAGTAGATTCTTCCCTCATTTTGCCTGATAGAAAACTGCTTCATTTTACTGATGCACCTGTCCCTGGTGTCCTTACCTGGCACCAAGGGGCCTGTGTGCACAGGACCAGTCTGTTGTTCTCAGAGAGGAAGTGGCAACTGTGAAAACAGTGATTTAAAAAATTTTTAATTTTTTTACTTTGTGCTGTTGGGTAGGGGTTTTGCAAGACATTATCACGAATACTTCAGAGTTCAGGTGTGGGAAAAGTGTCCTTGCTTGAAACTTCAGTATCATGATTTTTGAGTATCCTCTTGCAATATTTTCAGAACAAATTGTATAATGCCTTAATGATGCCTGCGAATGCAGAAAGGAGGTTATATGCAAATCAAATACAGCAGGTGTATTGTTATGACCCAACTGAGTAAAGCTATAAAAAAGCATGAGAAAAAAAGAGGGAATAAACTTTTTATAAATTATGTAGTACTGTAAGGAAATGTTTTCAGGATAAATCCATTTTTTTCTCCCACTTAAAGACAGGGAGGTTTACCCCAACATCATATTTGTGTTCTGAAGTTCACCTGTATTTGTAAGGATTTAATCACAGCATGCTGTCATCCATACCACTGGCAAGCTTTCAAGGGATGGTGCAAGCAACTCATCTTTATCATCACTGGAATTATAGCAGAAAGCAGTTACCCCTCATGGATGATGAGCAGCTGAAATATTTAAAATTATTTTCTTTGTTTTCATGCTTCTGTATTCCAATCCATTTGTCCATCTCTCTTCTCTCTTGCCCCCTGCCCCCCCGGCCAGGTAAAGATCTTGGCAGGGTAGGTGGTTGCTAACAACTTGCTGGTGGGTTGCTACACCCAAGTGACTGGTATTGTTCCAGGATATTGTGTTTTATAGTGGGAAAAGTGTACCTGATGGGATGTTCCCTGTTAGTGGGTTTTGCTTTCATACAGTTTTGCTGTTGTTATCTGTTTGTGATTTTCCATAAGCTGTTAGAGCTTTTAGCATGCTGGAGAAAGAGACAGGTGGGGTAAAGAAAGATAGTGCCTGTGTTTTCCATGTAAGAACTCAGTTAGAAAGATCTGTGGCTTTACTTTTTTAACTGTTGAGTGTGAAAGAAATTCAAAGGTCTGAGTGATTCTTAAAAGGCTTTTACACTCTTCATCTTCTTGCTTATGTCTGGTGAGTGGTACAGGTGTGTCCTGCTGTCTGGTACCATTCATTTGCTGGATTCTGGATGATTTTTATTCAGTATGAGTTTTCATAAAAATTGGGGGTTTTGCAAATGTGTTAGCCCTGGTATCAAAAGGGCAAAGGCTGTGTGGCACGGGAGAATCTCTTTTGCTAGTATAAGATATTTCTATTCAGTTCATCATCTGTTCCTTCTTCCTCTTTTAGTTCCCATCACCTGAGTGGGACACTGTGACTCCTGAAGCCAAGAATTTGATCAACCAGATGCTGACGATAAACCCAGCGAAGCGTATCACAGCTGACCAGGCTCTCAAACACCCATGGGTTTGTGTAAGTGTTCTCCTTATTACAGGTTGATTTGTGGTTTGCCTTGAATGGACATGCCAGGAAGATTTGAAGGACCCAGTATATTTCAAATATTTCAGATTTTTTTATATATACTGATATTCAACAAGCCTACTTTGTCATGCTGTGGTGCTTTTATTGCCACCGTAGTAAAAAAAAAAAATAAAATAAAAAAAATCCTTATTCTTTTAGAATTTTGTCCAGTGTCCACAGTTTCTGTTTTTTCCCCCACATTATTTCCAATCCACAGCATCCTAAAATGTCAAATGGAATTTGTCATCAGTCAAAAATTTTAGGACCATTTTGTTCTTCATCTGCTTTAGTTTATGGCATAGCATCTTGGCAATATTTGGGATATTTCTGTTACACTTAACTGGCTGTAAACTCGAAATCAGAAAAAAATCTTTTGCTGTTCTGTCTATGTAGTTTCTGCTTTGCCAGACCTCACACTTAAGTATTTTTAATCTTTTGCAAAGTTGTCAAGGAAATCCCAGAATAAGCTGGGTGTAGGGGAGGGCAGCAGTGATGGCACTTTTATCTCTGCAGGATGAAATAGTTTCACCTAAGTCTTACCAGATGCTCTGGTAATACCACAGCATACTTCTGAGATGGGTCTAGTGTGTTCCTTTTCTCATTTGTTCTTGAGAAGCTGTGGTGGTGGTGGCCTTATACCACAAATCAACAGATAGCAATTTAATTATGTGAATGTCTAACAGGAGTGTCTGCTGTAAAATTATGCAAGTTCCTTGGAAGTCAAAACTTCACACTAGCTGAGACTGCATCTCCTTTTTTTACTCCTTGCATGCTTATAATCAAGCTTCTGTGTTTTAAACTTTCCTCCCAATGCCTGTACCTGAAGTTGTATTATTGTAGCCCACTCCCTGTGGCAGCTTTCCGTCTTTGAGCTAGGGAGGGTCTGATTTCACTTCCCAGCCATGTCAGCCTCTCACTGAAACTGCCTCCTGTCCAGTCTGTTTCCCTTTGCTTTGCAGTCACTGTGTGCACAACATACATTTTTTTCTGGGTATGAATGACTCCTCTAAAGTAAATGTTGTAGGAAATCTAAAAAAGTTTAAAAGTTTATCTGAGACATGAGTGTCTTAGCACCACTGAACTTCTGAAATATGTGTCCTGATTCTTGTGAGCACACATTGAACAACTGGATATCACTGTCTTTCCATAAGAGGCTGGAAGAACAGTGACCACCAGAGTTGTTTGAGGCCACTTTGGCTACATTCTCCCCACACAGTGCCTTATGTACTGCAATAGGTGGCCAGCTTTGACAATAGGATCAAAGCAGAGACTTCCCATTAAAGTAGCTGAATTTACAGTTCCTTTGGGTGTTGCAGAATTTTTTCCAAGCAAGAGAAAGTTAGTGGAGACTTTGTTCACACTTACCTGCCAGGTTAGAAATTCCCCCACTATCCTCGTAAAGGGAATTCAGGCTTGTGATTCTATGCAAGAGCAGCAGCTACTTTGGCATTAGTCACTGACTTCCTCATGTGCTCTAAATGCTTGGCAGTAACAGTCTCTGATTTCCTCTTGTGGTCTTAATGGCTGCAACACTTCTGGGAAGTTGTCTTTTTGCAGCTGATGGCATCTCAGTCTGCTGTGGATGATGGATGTGAATTACTGCATAGAGATTATGCTCATTTTTTTCCATTGGTACAATAGAAATACGTGGTCTTTTATATGATAAGAATCTGTTTCTACAATATTGATACAAAGATGCCAAGGCCTCTGCTAGTCAACCTCTTACATTGAGGGGGTTGCCATGTCCAGGAAGGCTGCTGTTCACAAGTATTTCCTTACTGCTTGAAATTTCCCTTTCAAACTGTAGCTAACGTAGTCCAGGTCTTTTCTGTAGTGCCTCTAACTCAGTTCCCTATGGGTATGCTTGTTCATTTGGCTTCATCTTCATACTGTCTTAAATCTTGTGTGTGCCTGAAAATCAGGGAGCACTGATTCTCACCTTTACCTCAGTCATAAATTTCTTGGTTGCAGTCCTGTCATAGCCCATCTTGATTTAATGTGTCTTGATGGAAGTTCACAGGTTATGAAGTTGCAGTGCTTAGCATCCATGCAGTGCTGAGAGGCTTGGCCATGTCAGCCTGAACGTGTGGATTGTGTGCAAGTGGAATGAACTTCCCTGGCTGATTTGTTAGGGGTATGTTCTTGATTTTCTGCTGTTCCTGTTTTTCAGCAACGATCCACTGTTGCATCAATGATGCACAGGCAGGAGACTGTGGAATGCCTGAGAAAGTTCAATGCTAGAAGGAAGCTAAAGGTAAGTGCATCTTAATTTGCTTTAGGTTTGATTTTAGTTCTCTGAATTTGAGGTTAGTGCCTTCCTAGCAGCAATACTTTTTTTCATGACTAGCAGTGTTAGAGGAGTGATCCTTCAGTACTGAGGACTGAAGTAGTGTACTGAGGAGCTGAGTGGTTTTGTTCTCCAAGCTCTAACCTTCCATGCCTCTTCAGCTACATATTCCCCCATTCTAGTTTCTGCCAGTGAGTTGAAATAGAGCAGGTAGTTCTGGGACTTTTATTTCTGAACACTCTGCACCTTCCAGTACTAGTGGTACCAGTTGCCTGCAGCTGGGGCAAAGCCTCTGGCCTATGCAAAAGCAGCTCTCTGCTGTGTGAAATCTAGGAAACAGCTGTGTGTTTAATTCTTAGTGCCATTTCAGATTTCCTAGGCTATCCTGCCTGGCATCTAGCTGCTGCTCTAGAAAGGCAGGATTGCGAGTGGTCCCATGTCGAGCCTAAGAGCCACACGTGGGAATCCTGGATACACTGGGGTTCTTCAGGGTACCAGTGGTATACCTCTGCATTGGTTACTGATGCATTGTGTCCTCCACGGGTCAACCCAGCCCCTTTCTCACATGGCACCTTCTGTTATCCCTGCTTTGTCTTCCCCACAGGGTGCAATCCTCACGACAATGCTTGTGTCTCGGAATTTTTCAGGTAAGTCCGCAGTGTTCCCATCCTTCCTTGGTTTTGTTTTGTGTGAGTGAGCTGCAGAATATTTAAACCATTTTGGGGTCCAGTAAGAGGGGAGGAAATGTGGTTTCAGTTTATCATAGTTTAATGATGGTCACTTTGCCTCAGCTGGTGACCAGTATGAAATAGGAAATTATTTGTTTAGAGAGGAGCACATGGTATTGTAGTCTGGTACAAAATAGAAGTAAAGTCAGCTTCCACAATCATCTCATGATATTTTATTAGGAAATTACTTGTGAGAAATTCTAGCTCATATCATTAGCTTTCCCATCATAAACCAGGAGTGAAGAGCTCTTATTAGGTAGGAGTGTTTCCTTCAGACCTGAGGCAGGGACAGGGAAGTAATATTGTGAGAATAGGGACAGGAGCTATTTGGGTATTATATTACTTTGACTCATCAAAAATGGGTCTGAAGTGTCTGGCTATTAGTTTTCCTTCTTGGAGTCTCAGAAGTGGTTTTCATCCTTTTAAATTTAATAGCTGGTAGTCTGGCTCCCACCCAACTGCATTACGTAGTGCATTTACTGAAAATGCAAATCTCAACATGTAAATCCATGCTTTTTGGAAGATTATTGTCTTGGCTAAGCACACTAGGTGACGCAGTCTTATCTGTGCTCATTTTCATTTGGGTGGAAAACCTTTATTTGTAAGTGCTTTTGGTTTATGGGATCTTTGTTTTCTTTACCCTCTGTAATTTTCTTTCTCTTTTAAAAGAGCAGTCATTGAACGCATGAGTCAGATTTTTATTGCACCTGACTACAACTGCTTTCAAGTGGAGTTCTGCTATATGGATTATGTGATGAGGGAAATGTGTTAATTTCATCTGGCCATTTACTAACAGTGGATACCAATACTTATATTCTGGATATTGTTACAATAAACTTGTAATTGGAATGAAAACCTCTGTGAAATGATCATCCCAGCACACAAAGTGCACATTTGTGCATACATTCTTCTGTGAACTCAGAGTATGTGAACTCAGAGAACTTCTGTATGGTGATGTTAAAAAAAATTATGTGAAACTATGCTACAATTAAGGGACAGCCCTCACCAATATCCAAACTTTTATTTCTTGGTTCTTGCTTTCACATAGACCTGTGCCAATTTGTCAGCATTACTTGTGGCTACAACAATTTATTTTTTCTACATTTCTCATAGTCTGACGTTAAAGAGACAGAGTAATTTATTCATTCATCTGTCCCACAATTGTGCTATTACAGTACTTAAAAAATCTGTACTGTTTTCTGAGACTGATTCTGAAATAACAGTCTGAGGACTTGCACAGGCCTATACAGAGCTAAACATTTTCTTGGGCCTTCTGCTGGAGTGAACTGTTTTTGTTCTATTTACACAGCTCATCTTTATTTCACTTAATTGATGATTCTGAAATAGTCAGGGGCTTTATCCTTTTTTTTAATAAACAGAAGATTTAGATTAATTTTTAGTCTGCAAATGTTGTCACTTCTAATGAAGCTGCAGAAGTGCTTGGATAAGAAAATGTCTTACTGGTAAGATTTTGAGTACTTGAAATGCCAGAGAGAAGGGTTCTCCTTAATGGTGTGTGACCTATACATCTCCTTAATCCCTGAGCTAGTACTGAGGAAGAAGAAGTTTGCTCTACTCATTCTTCTCTGTGTCAAGGGCTGAAGTTGCTGGATCCACTTCAGTTAACAGCTGAAGAAAAGGAAATCCTAGGTGGCCCTTAGTGATTGCAGGGTTTGCAGTGTCACTGAGCTCTGCTTTGAATATAAACTGTGATTCCAAGTATGACACACTCATAAAAACTGTCCAGAGAGAGATGTTGTGAATGTAGATGCAAAGCCTCTGTCAAGAGTAGCAATTACTTACATTTTTGTGTTTTTAGAGGGATGAGATCATCTACTCCTGTTTCCTGTGCAGAACTGTGTGTAATATGAGCTTGACTTTTTAAAATTGTAATTACTTTTTAATTTACTTAGGTTTTCTAGTTGGCTGCAGTCAAAGTAGATACATCTGCTGGAATTAAAGAATAAATGCATGCTAACTGAAAGTAATCAGTTAAAAAGTTTGTGTGGGAACTTTAGGTAGAGCTCAGACTTTTCTTACCATGACAAACATTTAACTGCTCTTGAAGGGTTCTGCAATAATATTTCTTTCTTTCCCTAAAGCCCTTAAGGGGTTTTTATTTTTCTCTAATTGGGTGACACTATTTTGTGGGTTTTTAAAAATCCCATTCCCAGCAGACAGAGAACTAGATTTAAGAAGAGAGAAGCTTCTTTCTGTCTGGGAATGAGATCTCCTAAAAGATTCTTTCATAGATGTTTTGAATAAAGAGGAGAATGAAGGCTCATGTGACCCCAGTATCATTAATTAGGCACGATTGTATTATCTGCAGGAAATATGAGAAGACTCCTTTAATCTCACTGTTTTTACTATCTCCTGTGTCACATTTTGTCATGTGGAGCTCCTTCTCTGTGTACGCCTGTGACAAATTCCTAAAGACTCTGGAGCAGTACTCTCTCTCTTTTTAGCCCATCAAAAATTCTTTGTTTTTACAAAGAAAAAAAAATCTGTTGTTTTTTGAGTAATTTGTTGCTTGCTATGTGCCGCTTGCCCCAGGCCAGTTAAGTTAAAGGATATCTGGTTCCTTTACCCAGTTATGATATATTCAGCCATTTAATATTGGCTGTTTGTGGTTCTTTTTAGAAGATTGCATCTCAGGCCAGCTGTAGGCTATTTGTTAAAAGCAGGTACAGTTGCACTCCTTTCAGCATAAGTCAGGAAGTTGAAACCTGGTTACAATAAGGGCTTTGTAGCTTCTCTCTACACTCTGGTATGTGTTAATTCAGATGCAATCTAAATTTTGCTGCAGGATTGTTAGGGTCACACCAAGGTATACACAGGATTACTTGTGTGCTTACCTGGGGCTTCAGATGTTCAGATGATCCAAGCAAGCACTGATGTGATCTGCATGCACGTACAGAATATGGAAGTGCAGTTGGTAAATCAACTGATTAGATCATATGCAAGAAACTCCTAAATCATATTCTGAGAAGTAAATGTAAATTTATTACTAGAAGAGAGTTGGGAGGGGTTTTATAGATTCCTGCTATATTTAAGGGTGCCTGGACTCATCTATGTAGATAAAACTCTGTAAAAAAGCTTGCTATGAACTGAATGAAAGATGGAAAAAAATGGTTTTCATCTTAGGAGCAGCCATCTTCACAAAATGCTGCCAAGTGCCTTTTCTCCGTAAGCTGATTTTTATGCACAACTTACAAGTGGCCTATGTGAAATTCTTAGTACTGTTTTCCTGAGTGGATTGCAGCTGTTAATTTGGGGAGCTGTTAAAGAAGTGTTTCACACTGTGAAATTAATTTCTATCACATTCAGTCCTATGTTCAAAATAGATTCCAAGGCAGACTTTGCAGGTAATTATGCCTTATGCCTGAAACCTCTATTTTTAATTGATGTTGACCTTTCTTCTGGGTTGCCACTGCTCGCTCAAGTCAGTTTTGTGAGGGAGCTATTGTGACAGAGTGTGACAGTAACTGGAATTCATTACATGTCTCTGCAGATCCTTATTAACACTCCAATGTGCAGGTTTGAGATTTGGCTATGTAGGTGAGGTTGAGAGAGGCTGGTAGCAGATTTGAGGAGCAGAGGTCTTTCTAACTAAGCAAAGAAGGTGTGAATATGCCTGTGTATATTTAATGTAACCTGTACAGAGACATTTTTTTTAGCTGACTAAAGAGAAAGAAGGAGGAAATAATACAAATACTGAAGTGGTACTGAAATATTTTGCTGTCTTGTTATACCTCCCTTCCAGAAGTGTGAAACTGAATTTTTGCTCTTTTGTGTGTGTGTGCACATGTGTGTGTGTGCATGTACATATATATCTATACTCAGGTAGAAATTTGAGTTCTTTTCTATAACTGAAATAAGTAATATATGTGAAGTTTCTACTGTGTTATGTTAGGTAGATATTGATTCAGGATCAGAAATTTGTATATCCTGGTAGGAATCCAAAGGTATGAAAATATGGAGGGGGAAAATATTATTAAGATATTTGTAGAGCTTTGACTAAATAAGCGTAACATCACTGGAAACCACATTTCCCAAGCAGAAGATGAAGTTACATTTAGCGAAAGATTAAGTTGGTTTTAAGTGCTTTTGCTGTATCTACTAAATCTCTTAAGAAACAGTAAGGGTTTCAGTGAATGGTGCTCAACTATTACTGTGTGGACCTGCTGAAGTAGTGGATTTCAGTTAGTAACATCTATTTGCAACTTCCTAGAGTGATACAGATTTCATTAGTGCATTTAATTATCACTATAGCCAGAGAGTCTAATTTATCATCAAAAGTGGATGTGGATTATTAAAATTATTTCTTCTACGTCCTCTCTCTAAAGTTCAGGAAGGCTCTGGGAATACTTTTTATTGTGGTGTTTGTCCTTAATAAATAGATATTCTTGAAGTTATATTGCATTCATGGGCATTGTTTGTGATGGTAGCCAAAAGTGCCTCTTGTGACTGCACACTGACTGTTGGCTCCTTTGCGGTGACCCCAGAAGTGACTTCAAGTTAAGAAAGTTAATATTACTTTCTTTGAACTGAGAATATGAGAATGACAAGCTGCAACTCTGTGTCATAAGTCTGTGTTGGTATGATACAATTTTTATTTTATGGAGTCTTAGTAAAGTTCAGAATTCTTCAGGTATAAATGCATGTGTTTAGAAGCCAGAACTTGGCTCATTTTTTAGGATAGCATCATAAGTTAGTCAGACTTAATAAAATCAGCCTCAGTGTTCTTTCTGCATCCCAAAAAAGAATTCTCTGGAAGCTTAACCTAAGTGAGAAATGTAACTGAGTTTTGGCAGCTGAGGACAGGGCAAATCCAGGGATAGGCTGGATGAAGGGTTGCTCTCTCTGGAAGAGGAGTGGGGCTGGCAATGGGGAAGACACTCTGTGTGACTGTCTTTGGAGTGTTTCCTCTTCAGTCCCACCTTGGCTCTGGTACATCCAGAGTGTTTATTGCTGATGAGTTCAGCATTAGGGATTTGTGTTTCTGCCAGGAGCATGGTCCAGAGCCCAGGCTGTTTACTACAGCAGCCAGAACTGGCAAATGTGGGAAGAGGGAGGGGTATGTGCAGGAGAAGCCTTTTGTGTTGCTCTTCAGCATTCAACTGAAGAGGGTCTTGTTAAGCCAGGAATAGAATAGTGGTTTTAAGTTACTGGGTTAGCAGCATGTGCTTTCATGTTTCTTTATTCTAGAAGAACTCTTAACTTCTAGAAATTAAGAGAAGAGGGAATTTAATCCCTTGAACACATAGAGGAAATGGGAAAGATAGAAAATAATAATCCTAGCATCTCACAGCTGGGAAATCGTAGAGCATTGGTACAAGACTGTTTCAGGAACAGTAAAGAATCTGCCTGCATGTGTCTTTGCATACTTCCCCTCCTGTTGTCTCTCTGCTAATCTGCCTGTCTTCTAAAAGGATTATTGTTACAGGAAGTCTTGTCTGTTGCTTGTGCAAAAATTCCTTTTGCATCCCCCTTTATTTCTGTCTTGTAATTTATACAGGTTGATCTGTGGGTAGACCTGCATGCATCCCTGTTGTCTGAAGTGTCTGAGTCATCTTAATGTGTAAATGCATTTCATGTGCTCTCCAGCTCTCTGTAAACACAGTATAATGCATGAACCAAATACACCACAGACCCAGTTTCTTTCTACAGTACTGGGATGCTGTCAGGCCTGTGGGAGAGCAGTGTGTGCCATGCAGAGGTGCAATCAGGGAAGGAGGCTGGATGGGCAGGCTGCCCCAGGGAACATGGATCAATGTTACATAGTGCTGGGCTGCATGGAGGGACTCTCAGCTGAATTTGCTTTCTGTCCACAAAGACAAGTACAAGGTTGTGGGAAAACTGCAGAAAGTGTGAAAAGTGATGCTTCCCTGCTTGTCTCTGGGATGTTCCCAGAACATATGGTGGTACTATTCTGCATCTCTGATGGTGTTTTTTTTTTTTTTTCCACTTCAAGGATGTCCCATTTGGCATATTTGTTAAGTTGCAGAATCCTTTACTCCTGAAGTGTTGTAAGGCTGTAACAGTTTGTTTTCAGCAGTTGTTGTGTGAAATACCTTCATTCCTGTATAGTATGAATGCTGGACTCCTTTTGACCCCATAGTCACATTGTTGTTCTTCTCACTTGCATGTAGAATCAAGCTAGCCTTTGTCATGCCTTGAAGGTGGCAAGAACTTACTTGTCTTGCAGTCTTGCAATGCTTTAATATGTGTACACTCAGAAAAGAGACTGTTGCAGGGCAGATGAGTTGCTTTGCCCACTTACATGTGTGCACATTGGAACACTGTTTTCTGACATATCACATTCAGAAAACCTCTGCATGAGGTTCTTCCAATGTTCTTGGCTTCTGAGAGCTGGAATGAAAATAAAATTATCTAGTAATCTAGCTTTATACTTGCATTAGAGAGTAGAATTAGGAAAACAATTCAAAGATTCTAGTAAGCTTATATGGAGTGCCACCTCTTTGTTGGGAGGAGATGCTGTAGTCATTTGCACCAACTCAGCTAATATTGTGTAGCTAATCCATGTCTGTAGGGTCTTGTAGGGAAGGCAGGGTGGAAAATGTGGTTGACATAAAATTTGAACAGTTGATTAGATATTGCACAAACCTTTTTTGCCTAATGTTGCTGCTTCTAGAGAGACTGAGCACTCTGTTCTTGTTGGTCAGTATGTCTTTGGAAATTTCAATAGTCATGTCAGCATTGTCTTAGGACTTGCCTTTTCTCTAGGCCTCATCTTTGCTGCACCTAAAACCCAGGTGCCCAGACCCAGAAGCTAGCTGCTTAGGAGAGCCATAGCATGTGTTGGTACAGTACAGCTACTTGCATGCTGTTTACAGAAGTTGATACAACTGAATGCATTCTTCATAAGTATACAAGAAATGGTTTGTATCTGTTGAAGTTGTACATGGGATCTTGTTGTTGACAATCATGGTACCACTTTGCTGTCATAGATGAAGCAGCTCCTTCATCACTCCCAGCCAGGCATTTGTTGTGGGCTCTCTGTGAGGCCTTATCATTCTCTCAGTTTCATTGGTAGTGCCAGTTGTTCAAGCTGAGCACAGTAGAGTATCTTTTATCTTTCATTTAAGAAATTTGGCCTAGTTCCCTGTCTCTTTTGTCATTCTTCCTTTTTTTAACAGTTTTCAGATGCTGCCTTTTACACTTTTTCAGTCGCTTTTAGCTATCCAGCTATCCCCAGAGAAACTGTGAATAACAGTAATTAGAAGGCTTCTGTATTATCAGCACCCCCTTTATAAGCCACATCTGTTATGTGAATGTATGCACTTACAGGTGCAGCATTTATCCTATTGCAAAAATCAGAATCAAAGGTTTCTTTTGCCCCTATAACTGCTGACACGTCTGGGTGGGGTCACAGTGTGTGAGTGGGGGATTGACAGAGAAGCTCTAAATTACCTTTTCAGACTTGGTCTTCTTGAGGTGGTGAAAGTGGTATTTTGCCTTAATAGGTGAACAATAGATATGATAGATGACCCTCTCCTATCAGGATGAATTTGTTGAGTGACTTGTCCTGTTTTCTAGGTCTCTTGCTGCTAGAGAGGAATTAGCAGGATGGTTGTCCTTCTGAAGTTCAGTGCATTTTTGAGGGAAGTGGTGGGGAAGGAGAGAGAAAGAGAGAGAAGATAGTCTTGAAAGCAAAATCTGACTTACTTCTGCTTTTCTCCACAGCTGCCAAAAGCCTGCTGAACAAGAAGTCAGATGGAGTGAAGGTAAGTTCTTGCTTTGCCATTTCACTGTCTCTCCACCATCTGAACAGAAGGTAGCCAATCCCTCTGGTGCCTGTCACTTTCCAGGGTAAAACCATAGTCCTGTGGTCTGGATTGCTATAATCAGTGTCTTGTTATGAAACCCTGGGTGGGATCTTAGTGTTCCTCACTTGCATAACTAGTTAAGTGGACTGTTGCAGCAGCAGGAATTCCTTTTCCCTTTCTGTGATGTATAGAGAATTGGTCAGCACTGGATTAGAAAGACCAAGGACTTGCTCAGTTGTTACATATACCTCTGCCTAGTCTGTTCTGTTCAGTGCTTCTGACTGAAAATTGCACAGAGCAATTGTGAATGACTGATGATGATATACTCAGCAAACCCCATGGAAGTTTCTTGGTCTACTCACTTGGACGGATGCTGAAGGCTGAGCTGGGAAGAAGGGTGGGGAAGGAGGAGCCTCCAAATGTTCATGTTTGGACAGAACAGAAACTGAGGATTGTGCTGAAAGTTCTGTTCATGTGCCTGAAGTTGAGGCACTCTCCTATTCCCTTCTGAAGGGAATTATTTTTTCCCCCCCTTGAATGTCAGTCTTTATGTTGCATGGTCATCATTTATTTCTGGAGGTCACACAGACCCTTGCCAAAGCTCTGTTTTTGCATTCAGCAGCCCTTTACTGTCTGGTACTGGAGGAGAGACAATTATAGGCTAGAGCATGGCCTCCCCTAACTGTTCTGAAGGGTTATTGTCCTCCACATGGAAAAGAAGAGTTGAGTTTATTTGTTTGCATTTTCCTTTGAAGTCCAAACCTTTCTCCACAGCTACTAGGTGGAACAGTTAATCTCCTGGTTTAGCACTGTGGGCAGTCTTCTTTCCTTCCAAGCTAGGGGGCTGACATTCACACTGTAGAACCAGCACACTTGTTCTCTCCTGCTCTCTGACCCCTTTTCTATTTTAATGAGGTTTTGTTCCCAGAGGGCTCACAGTACAAGTAGGCTGCTGGAAAAAGAGGTGTTTTCAGAAGAGTTGTGTTTGTCCACGTTATTGATGTCCAGGTTTTGGAGTTTAATTTTTTATCAAAATACTCTGTGAAAATGCTGTTCCTGCCCTAGGATTCTTGTCTTTGATATTTGCCTGCAAGAGTGAGCTTTTGGCCATTGTACCAGCCTGCCTCTTGTACAGACATGCATTGAACACATGCACGCTAGTACAGCAAGTATGTTCGAGTTGTTGCATCTGTTGGTACTTAAAACATTACAATAGAATCCAGTGGAATAAGCATGAATTATCCCTAATGTTGTGAAATGAGAACCAACAGGTGCTTGCTTCAAAATCCCAATGAGGCAGGAGAGAAGTAATTGGAAAAACAGCAGGTATCAACATGTCTACAAAGCTTTGTTACCTATCTAAAAAAAAATAGCTTTCTTCGTAGGATTCTTGATTTCTAACAAGCTTTCAGGGAGTGTCACATCTTGGGTTAAAATATTTAAAAAATGGACAAAGGATGTACACATAAATCTTGAGGCACAACTTCCTGGTAATATAGTTACAAAGAGACCCTGTACGTTAGAACCTTCCAGCTCTATAGAAAGCTTGTGGTGTTTGGTTCATGGGAGTACACAATGTCTTCCTCTGTGAAAAGGATAATTCTGGATTTCCTTCATCTCTTTGCAGTGTATGTTGCTCCTTGTATGTGTAATTGAATACTTTGATAAAGTGGAAGGTATATTAGAGAGCATAGCATTCTCTGTTCATGGTGAGTGAGATTGTCCTCTGGAAACTGCTGCTTCTGCAGGACACTGGAGACCTGCAGTCAGGAGTCTGCAGCTTCTTCCATGCAGCTTCCTCCCTCCAAAGTGTTACAGCAGTCTGGCTTTGCAGTGTGAACCTCAGTATTGTCCATGAGGGGCATTGTTCATGTTCACCCTGAGCTGAGGGCCACCAGGAGAGGTGTTTAAGCTTCCCATTTTTCCTAAATGGTGTCTATCTTCAGGTATGGATTTTGAGTTCTCATTTCTTTAAGTGTTAAAACTCAGAAATAAATAATGTCTATCTTATTAAAGCTCCTGTTTTGAGTTACTCTTCTGCTCAGTAATATAGACTTTTAAAAGTACAAGTTGTTTTCCCCCAGTGCTAAGCTTTGACAAGACAGAGAATGTTCAATGTTCTGTGTGTGTTAGCAGGACATCCTTAATGCTTCTGTTGTAGGATTTCTGTGTGTACGTGCTTATCTCTTTCCTAGCCCTACTGTAATGGGTGCTGCATCCCATTTGAAGTGTAGTCTTTTACCATGTCCATTTGCTTGTTGGAGCAGTACTGGCCCATTGACTGCTGAGGACAGTCTTTGGGTTGGTTAGTGTCTGGTTGGTGGCCTCACCATTGTGACCAGCATACTTCTCATCTGTTGCTGCTTATGCAGGAAACTTGTAATTTTAGCTCCACTCACTTTCTCACCCTGTACAGTTCTGACAGAAAAATTGTGCCAGTGTCTGCTTGAGGTAAGAGCATCTGGTCTTACTTGTGGCAAACAATGATTTCCTGTCCGTTGCAGTAGTGCAGAGCACAAATACCATGGCTTGAACACCCAGATTTTCAGCTTTGTGGTATCCTTTTCACTCCCACTTCCTACACAAATTATTCTACATCCAATGTAGGTTTAAAACAAGCACTGCATGCTGTACTTCTAACTGGAGTCTGCTGTCTGCTGCTGACCACATGCCATCTGGTTAGGCTGTTTCTCATGTTTCCTCCAGATAAGAAGACTGGTTTGTTTGATTGTTGAGTTTTCTGTTTGTCTCTTACAACCTTCTTGGAAATCAAGAAATCTTGAAATCTTTATGGAGATTTGAGAGAAAATATGTTTCAGTTTCTTCATTGGTTTTATCTGATGCAGGGTGACTTTGCACCATAAGACTGTTGTCACAGATATTCACAAAGTAGATAAGAATTGAAAGAGTATTTCTTCCACAAATAGGTTATTACAATAGTGTAAAACTTAATGGCTTTAAAGACATTGAGAAAAAAGCACCAACAGTTTGTCTTAATTTACTTTCTGTTCAAGGTAACTTTCCCCTTTTTTGGCTGGTATTCAGAGCTGACTGTGCTAGAATTCCCCATTGTTTGACAAGGATAGTGGGAGTTTCTATTACATAATATTACACTGGCTTGGGGGAGACATACACATCTTTCTCGTGTTTTATTCCCAGTAACACCATGAAAATGTGTGTTGGTGAATTTCTGATGCAAGGTACTTGCTGACTGAGCATAAATGAGAGAGGAATTATTTGATAGTCATGCATGGTGCTATGAGCATCTAGCTTGAGTTGTGTTGAGTTGATACTAAAAAAAAAGCACAGTTTTTGTTTCTCTAGCAATAGGCTCAAATCCTTCACTGAACAAAGTTTAGCACTAAAGTAGTGAGGATGTATGCATTTTACTTGGATCATACCATTTTGGAAGGCAGTGGGAGAAGCTTAGATCAGGAGGGGAGGACAGGAAAGAAATTTTTTTTTAAAAATTTCAATACTAGTGTGTCCACACAGGGGCTGTTTTGATAAATTTCCATAGATATTACTGCCCCCTCCACCAAATTCCTTTCCAAATTTTATTTGAAGCATTCCTGGCTTTCATTTTGCACTGTTGCTTCTATTTCAAGTGCTAATTCTGCTAATTGGTAGAGATTTCATCAGCTTGGCATTTGAGAACTTTTCCATTATCTTAAATAATGAATGATTTAAACTGCCTTGAATCTTAAATTCTGCCTGCTCACCAAACCTTTGTAGTGCTGCACTCATTTTCTTCAAGCAGAATTTGGATCCGGGCTGTTGGAGTAGCAGCAGGAAGGCCCAAGTTTTATCCCCAAGGAATATGGTTTTCAGCTTTCAAATCCAGAAAGTGAGGCTAGAAGATGCTGAGTGACGAGTTGCAGAGCCCCAGTAAGATACCACATATCTTGTGGTCATCACACTAGGTCCCAGGTATCTTTTTAAAATTCTAAATTTATGAGCAACATTGTGCATCTACCATTTTAAAATTTACTTTAGATAGTTCAAAATCAGATATATTTGTTTTCTTGTTCCCCTTTCTAACTGTAATCTGGAGTTGCCATCTACTGCAAGGTGAGAGGGGTTAAGGAGTGGGCTGGGGTAAACACGTGGATGGAGCTTAAGGACACTTTATGCTGAGTGTCCTTCCTCTAAGCTTGTCAGGGTCTGGACTCCCTGTAGTGAGTGTTACAGTCCTACTGCTGATTGATTTTTTTTTTTTTTTTTTTTTTTTTTTTCTTGGGTAGTTTTTCAAAGTTTTTTTTTCTTTTTTTTCCAAAGGGGTATTTCACTTCCTGCTGGTGTGAGAGGCTGTGTGTGTTTCCAGTTCTAGCAGGGCCTGTAAGACTAATTTCTGTAATCAGAATTTTTTAATGCACAAAGTCTTAATTTCAGTTAAGCATGTAATGGTAATTATTTTTTAATTAGTCATTCTCTAAGCTCTTTGTCAGTTTCTTTTTTTCTTTCTTGTTTACTTCTGACCACTTGGGTTTGTTACTAGGATTTACAAAATTATATCAGTAATGTTCCTCAGGCCCAATGTAACACTATGCAGATAGTAAATTGTCAAGCATGCTGTGGGATGCAGGAGATTTTTAACAGCATTCACTTGCAATGCTCTGCCAAGTCTGTTGATTTTCTACCTTGTCTTTCTGCCACATGCACTCTAGTTTTTTTCCCAGTAAAAGCTGAATAGCTTTACTACAGCTGAAAGGAGAACTTGACTGAAAGAGGAAAAATCCATTTATTTGGTTTAACAAGGTTAATGTTCTAAAATCTGCCCTATATATTACATAACTGCAAAGAGGTACCAAATACCATTTGTTCTGCTGTTTGTAAGAAATATTGCAGTAAAGTGTACATTTTATGCCTGATGTGTACTACTTGCCCTGCCCTTTGCCCAGTAAAGAGTATGTGGGGAAGGAAGAATGCTCTGTAAACTGGCATGGCTGCTGGGAAGCAGTTGGTGAAAGCATGTCTTAAACAGAGAAGGCACAGTAGCAACGAAAAGCAACCTATAAAATCTGCAAGGGTCAAGTACCATTCACACAATGACCAACAGGAATTAATGCTCCTATCTCTGTATCCAGACTTGTTATAATCTTAATGACATACTGTTTAAAGATTGTTTATGGTGAAGCTAAACAGGGAGAGCCCAAGTTCATCTGAACAGCAGAGTTTTGTGCTGAACTGTGTTATGGAAGACACCTGGGGAGTGCTTCAGATCTGTTTAAGTGCTGACATCCAGTAGCACATTATATCCACCTTTGATGCAGTCAGTTTTTTCACTGCATTGTTGTAATGCTTAGAAGCACCAACTGAGATCAAGGGTCTAGTGTGCTTAGTTAGTGGTGGTTAAGCAGAAAATCCCTGCCACTTAGCTTACAATTTAAATAGACAAGCTGACAAAAGGGCAAGAGAGAAGATGGATTGACAAAGATTACGTTATTTGCTCAGTATCACACAAAAGGGCTAAAGCAGAAGTAGAAATAGGACCTCCAATTTGCTCGTTCAAGATGACTCTCACTATGATCATCTGCTTTTAGTTCAACTTTTTTTTTCTACCATAAGTTCTGAAATTACTGTACTCTCCATAGGAATATGAGTTGCTGCAAGCATGATATTTTAACATAAATACTGTATCAGGCTGGGGGAGAACTGCATGTAGAAGCTGTCATAAAAAAAAATAGCCATATTAAGTTCCCAGGACTGTGAATGGGACCTTGCTTGGAATCACTCTAATCACTCTACTCCTTATAGTATGTTTCAGCGTGTGCTGTGGAATGATTTACGCTCGCCATTTCTAGTATGGCTGCCATGCTGAAGAGAAGGTGATTCTTCAGATTGTCTTCTGTCATCTGCTGACTTCTGTTGATTGTTACCTAAAGCAAGACTCTTCCTTAAGTTTCACCATAGAGAACCTGCTCCTCTTTGAGAGATGAACACCTAAAATTCACACACATAATAAAAATAGAACTGTAACAAACGGTCATCCCTAGGTTTGTTGTCTGTACTGCTTTGGGAGAATGTTTTGTCACTCAGATGTAGGGAAACCCTTAAAGTGATCAGTGAGATACTTTACCATAGGCTGTGTTGGCCTTTAACAATTTTTTTCATTCCCTGGGACATCTCTGCCCTGCCTAGTAGTTCTTAGAGAGTTCTGTTTTATGGAAGGGAAAGAGAACTCTATAACTAAACTTCTGTTCTCTTATTTACTTTGCTAAGTTGCAGTCACATTACAAGAAGAACAAAAAGCTTTGCTCACTCAGCTAGTCACCTTGGGCAGGTAACAGTAGATGGTTCTGATGCAGCTGTTAAGATATACTGGGAGATTGATCTGGTTTAGTAACTTCCTTGTATATGATTTGACTTAATGAATTTTGATGCTTTAGCACTTACTGCTAGTGCCTCATGTTGGCATTATCTAACCTGTCTTGTGGTTTAGTAGTACTTTCATGCATAACACAGACCTCACTTCCTGCCCTTTTCATACTGCAAACACAATGCACAGCTTTTCTTCCCTGTGTTTTTATAGTAGCCAGTAATAATGTGCTTTCTGGGATTTCTACACTACATCATGCCCTGTAATAGACTAACACTGTTTTAAATTTAGCTTGTACTCTAATTAAGTTCTGATCTGCAGAGGGTTCTGTTTCCTTCTGTGTTAGTGTAACTTGTGCCTCTGTGTAGGAGGGTGTTTGTTTTCTGCATGGCTTGGTTGATTATTTTCATATTGAACCTTTTGCTTGTATTCTAACATTTTCTATCCCTTTTATCTTTTGTAACTTACTGAAAGTCAGTATGAATTTCAAACGAGATTGTCTTTCTTAGAGACAGGTTTACCTCAGGATCCATATAGTTTGTTTTTGTCTGCTGCAGCTTACAGAATACATTAAAAGTAAAAACAGTGTTTTTTCACTGTTGTGAATTTTCACTTTTCCCAGTTAAAAATTCCCTGTTGTGATGGGGTACAAGGATTTCTCTGGGTTGATGGCAGTCTAAGCATTATATTCATGTGCTGGTAGTACATGCTATTTTAGTTCTAGCTTGAGGAAAAGCCTGTGGAGAAGCTAAATTGTCCTTAAAGAAATGAGAGGAAACAGAAATTTGTTAACCATGTAATGCAAGCCCTGTGTTGTGCCTCCATGAACCGGAAGATTTGTGATCCAAATGGCAAACAGATCAGAGTCTGTCTCTTCTGGAATTAAAGATCAGATGAGGCAGAAGCTTTGCTAGTTTGAGTCTGTTCATGCAGTGGCTGTGTGACTGTGGACTATATGCTGTGATTAGGAATGTGGTTCTGGGTATGAGGGGAACATGGGCACTTCTGCTTTCAAAGACATGCCAGTGTGTGTGTGCTTGAGCTCTGATGTGAGGATAGCAGGGATGAAGGCCAATATTGAAGGTAAGAGCTGTGAAGGCTCAGTAAGTGTGTGAAGTGGGAAGCTACAGCTCCATGGCCTGTTTTGTCTGTGGGCTGCTCTGGTAGTGTGCAGAGTCCAGAGCTACAGAACTGAGCCCACACCATCGTGGATTTTGACTGACAGGAGCTGTGCTGTCCTATACTACTCTGTGGGCTAGTCTGTAGTAAGCAGCAGAGAAATAGCCCAGATAGTACCAAAGGAGAAGGGCAGATGGAAAATGTACATGGAGACAGCAAGGGGAAAGCATAGCATTGTAATGTTGAAAGACCTGCCAGGCTCAGCTTGAACTGGATGACACTAAGAGTTTAGTGAAAGAGGAGAGAAGTGCATGCTGAGCTTCATTTACTGGAGAGTGCAATTTGGTGTGAAGGAGTCTCTGACGATGACTGAAGATGCCATTGAACAAGAGTAGAGTCCAAGAAGGTTGAGTAGTGTTTGAACTTGTTTGTTCTTCTCTAAGTATCTGAGAGTGCAAAGTGTTCTGGCTGTTGAGTGCTTCTATCTTTCTTGTTTGAGCATTAGTGCACCTTACCTCTCCAATCAGCCCCAAATTCTATGTGAGGGAGCCTTTCTCCTCCCCATGCTATGCACACAAGTTCCCTCTTCTTCTTTTAGTCCCTGCGTATGCCTTTCTGCTGTGACCTCCTCCCTACTCTCTAATTTAAGTTGCAAACATACTTCTGCATTCTCCAAATATGAACACACAGGGATTTCTGCCTACCTCTTCAGTTTGGCTGGCGAAGCTGCCCCATTTCCTGAGATGGGAGAGCACAGAGACACGCCCTTGTATCCCACATCTTGTGCATATATATTACTCTCTTTTCTTCTCTCCTTATGTCAGTGTGGGACACCTATGTCCTGACCTCAGTGTTTGAGGGGATGGGAGTCTTCAGCCCTGCCCTTTCCCCTGGTGTGTAGTTATGTGCTTTAATGGTGACTTCTCTCTCTGTTCCTTTTTTCCATGTCTGTGCATTTCTGCTGCTGCTTATACCTGCCTCAGGGGAGCTTTATTGGCAGGGGGGCCCTTGCTGGCACACTAATGTGTGAATAGTTTCTGTGCTTTTCTTCTCATCTCCTCTCTTCCCTTCTCTTTCCCTCTCTCAATGATGTGTCCAGAAAAGGAAGTCGAGCTCCAGTGTGCATTTGATGGTGAGCACCTCCCGTAAGCTGCCTGCGATTCGTGCCTCCGCCATTTTCCATGCCATGCACGCTCGGCTTGTGCTCATCACCCTACATAGCATGTCCGTGCAAGGGGGTGGCGGGGGGGATCAGGGTGCACTCAGGGGTCCATGTCCTCACCAGAAGGGCTCTGTGATCCTCTGGCCACGTACAGCTCCCATTTTGTGCAGAAAATCCAGCTGATGGCAACTCAGATTGACTTTGCCTGCTCTGAGTGTGAAATGAAAAAAGACAGTGCTTCTCCTGGGCTCAGCAGAGCAAGTGTGTGCCTTGCCTAGACATGAGGCTTTGTCATTCTGTTGCAGAGGTGCCAAAAAGAGGAACAGGTGCTTTACCTGGTGTTGGTGCCGTCATCCTTGATAGGAGTCTTGCAGTGTAGAACAAACTGGGAGTCACTCCAGATGTGGCAGAGACTTACGGGGCTCCACTGTTCAGATGAAATGTGTGGGTACAGCACCACTGGGCAGCTCAGAGCTGCCAGTCACTTCTTTTTATAGCATACTTACTGAAAAAGTTTGTCAGAGCCATTATAATCTACAACTTCCTTTTGTCCTCATCTTGTTTATGTATCCCAGCATGACCAAATACCCAGTAACTGCCCCCCATGTTCATTTCCTTTTTCATCCATCAAGGTGTTTGACATCTATAGAATTTATTTTAAAAGTAGTCAAATCCACTCTCAAGGGTCCAAAGAGGAAATTGGCCAGTGTCATATTGTCAGAAGTCATACACAGCCCAATGACACACTTCAACAGCAAGATATGAACAGTAACCAAAGGACAATAATTAGTTATTGTATTCCTGTGCACAGAAAAATAACAGAAGCTATTTCTCCCATTTCAGATAGAAGTGGGAATGTTGCAGTACCAAGACAGCAGAATAATTGTTTTTGCATTACTGCCTGGAAGATATTTCTCCTCTTCTGCCTTCAATGACACCTTAAAACTGTGTAAAAAAAACCCACAAAAAAAGCAATCCCAAAGTACTGCTTTGAAAATATGAAGTGAGTGACTAACTTTTCACCAGCCCTGCCTTTATGCGGGGCAGAAGTTTGCTTTGCCTTTCTTGCCCTTCTTTTTGCCCACTTCCCACTGCCAGCAATATTTAAATTCCCTTTGCATATTGTTTTAAAGCAGCTGGGATATGTAAACCATGTAAGCATCAGCCTCTGGAAACATGGAAGTAGTGAAAGTGGCCGAAAACAGAGACAGCCCATGTGTTGTTGGTAGTTACTTTCTCTTAGCTGGCTACATGTGTGTGTCCCTACAATATGAGCACTGGTCTGTTTTCTTTCTCTTGCACCCTCTGTGTTGCTCGTGCCTGTCTGTCTGTCTGTCTCTTGTCAAGCTCAGGAAATGTTACCAACTGCTGTGCCAAAACGAATCGTGTTACAGATCCTAAGAAGGGCCTAGCACCTTTTTAGGTGAATGGACCTCTTTGAGCTTGAGTTGTACAGAATTACCAAGGACTGTACCCTGGCCAGTGACTGATGTTGGCTGGCAGCAGCGGGGAGGGAGGGATAAGAGTTGGCTGTGCTGCCTGCACCTCTGGGAAGGAAAGGCCAGCTTCTTCCAGGGAATAGCACTTGGTTAGATGGCCACATGATGTGTGTGCAGGAAGCTCAATATGTCAGATACCTTCCTTCACCTGAGAAAGAACTATGAAAAACATGCAGGCTAAGCTGCCTCTAATTTCTGTGGGATAGCATCCTGTAGTAAAATGCTAAAGAATTCTGGACTAGCAAACATGATACTGGGTCTTCTTCAGCCCACTGGCTGGGGAAGAATATGGTGGGTGAGCTGGGTGCTCAGTGCAGAGTGGAAGGTGGGCTGTGTGCTTTGAGTATGTGGGGGTTTGCACTTTATAAGGCAACATAACACTCCTAACAGGCTGTTGTCAACTTTTTATTTGGAACAGTGGATGTTTGTTTAGGTTTTGGTTGTTTTGTTGGGTTTTTTTCCCCATTTGGCCTTAGGTATAAAGCCTAATTATTTTTGTATAGCGTCTTCCGTGCTAATTTTATTTTCTTATCCCAGTGAGCTAAGAAAAATGGGTTACCTTCCTCTCACTGGAAGATGTTTGGAAGATAGATCTCTGCATTAGGATCACTGTTTCTGAAGAAGTACAAGAGCCTCAGTGCTGTGTGGAAAGGTGGACCATTGTCAGAAGTTTGTGTTTGTGCCACAAAATAGCTTGGGATTAACTTTTTCAGGTTGATCTGCTCCTCTTCGACATCCACAGTGACTTGTCATCTCTTCTGCCATCAGGCTGGAAATACATGCATAAAACAAAACTCTTGGAAGGCCAGAGTCTTAGGATAATGCAGAGATGTATAGAAAGAGGCAGCAAACCATAATTTCTATGGTATTTCTCCTTTCTTAGGTTAGAGTTTGAGTGTAAATGTTTGGGGTTTTTTCCCAGACTTCTAAAGAGTTCATTTCTGCCTCTCTCTCTTCTACTTCCTCCCCCTCCACCTGCCGCATCTTCCTCTTTTGTTTCTCCCCTATCCCTCTCCAAAAGGGATAGTTAAGCCAAGACCTGTTGCTTGTGAAGAAAAGACAAATTGTTAGTAGGTGTTTTTTAATTCTCGGTCTTATAAGATCTGTCACTGGTTGACAAAATTATACCTTTGGCAGATGTTTTCTAGCATTTGACGTCTCCATTCTTTGTGTTGTTTGTGGTGTGGTGATGAGGGCCTGATGTTTTTCAGTATGAGTTTGCACTCCCTGAGTGAGATAGAGAGCCACTGCAACGAGGACACACCACTGTGAGCTCCCCTGGTGCCCTGACCTGTAGAATAAGGAGTGTGACTGAGGCTCCTCAGAGACAATTTTGACCTTGCTGCTGGTGCCTATCAGGAAGAGATGTAGACCTGTGTGGGGGTCACAGGTGGGCTGGATTTGTGGGCTAGGAACCCTGTACTTATGGAAAAGTTTGGCTTCCTACAAACATAGACTTGGCTCATTCCTGACATACATGACTCAATGGGATGATTCTTTTCAGCAAGCTGGTGATGGCCTCACTGTTGTGCTGTATGAATGCAGGAAATGGAGATTTTATTTTTCTACCACAGCTACAGGAGAGTCAGAAGAGGGGAAAGATGAAAAGCTGCTGGGCACCATCCAGAGAACTTTATTCTTGTGGAACTGTATGACTTTTTCCTTATGTCCCAGTCCCATTCCTTTCAATATTGTGGTCCTGAAAGTCTCTTTGTTCAGGTCACAGCAGGGATACAACATATCACACATTACCTTTTCTCTACCTTTTCTAGGGCTGACCACATTTTTACTTGGCTCAGTAGATTCCCTGGAGCTCTCAGCAATATCACATAATGTTTCTGTATACTTTGGGACACCTCAGACTTGACTCCCATTTGTTTGAGACTATGACTACTGCGTGTCTCTCACTTCTGTAGTCTCTTTCTCTCAGGACAGCTGCCATGTCTCATTTTCCTTCACCAGATATTTTTTGTTAGTGCTCATTGGAGGATTCTCCCCACCCCTTTGGCTGCTGCCTTTTTGCCTTCTGTTTCCTTCCTTATAGCTCTAGCAGTCCAGAATTTTGGTACATACCTTACAACTTCTGTTGCCTCTGGGGGAAGGATGATGTCCAGCAACTGGGGCAGCACTCCTCCTTCCTCCCCCTTCTTGGTGATTGAGCCTGTGGGGAGGGTCGGGTCTGAGGAGATGGTTGGGGTTGAAACAATACTGTCATTTTCTTGCTGCCTCTGCTGCCCAGCATGAGAACTAAAACCATGTTTTTCTGTCTCAGCCACAGAGCAACAACAAAACCAGTATAGTAAGCACTGCAAAAGAAACACCCCCAGTGCAGACGTCCATGGTATCTTCCCCAAATGCTATTTTTTTTCCTGTTTGGTTTAATTTTTATTCTGTCCTCTCCCGTTCTCCTCCCAAACCCCTTCCCAAGTGCTGCTTGTGGCACCCTGTTTCAGCTTTGTTTTGGCTTCGTTCTGTCTGTGTCCCTGTGCTGCTGTGGGGTCTGATCACAGCCTCACAGGCTTTGGGATGGGGTTGCTGAGCAGAGCTGTGGTTGGATGTGGGGATTGCAGCTTGCCTGGATTTCCCCGTGTGCCACCCCTGTATAGTTCTGCGTGTGTCCCGTTCAACTGTTCCTGCTGGCTTTGGGGAGGATGGTTTTGAAGAAGAGAGTGTCAAGCTCCACCCACTCTCCAATGCTCAGGAAATGGAGGGCGGGCTTCAGGACACTAGATAATAAAGGGCAGACAAAGGGTTTTTAGAAGAATCCTTTGCTGGCCTATTTGGCCTGCCCAGTTGAGTAGCTGATCCTCCTGCAGCTCACTGACTTGCTGGGCTGCCACTTTCTGTTTGGCCTGTGTTCAAGCTCTGTAGTGCCAGTTCAGTGCCAGTGCCAAGAACATTGAACAGCACAGCTTGGGTGTGTGGCCTGCCTCAGTAGCCGTGGAAGATCAGGCAGCACTGCAGCGGGTGGCAGAGGCAGATGGGTGAGTGTACAGCACTGCCCAGCACCATCCCTGCTGCCCTTGCAGAGCCACCCAGCAAGAGCAGCAGCAGTGGGAGGAGATGGAGCAGGATCCTGAAGTCTTGTCCTGGTAATGAAAGGATGAGTGCAGGAGCTAGTTAGCACCCATAGGCCCGGTAGCTGCTCTTTGTTGTCTGTCTCTGGAGAGTTGGATTTGGTGTTTTTGGGGCATGGGAAGGTGGGATTTGGTGTTGGGGTTTTTTTGTTGTAGAATGAAGAATTCTTGGGACACTTCATAATTTTCTGCTTTCCTTTCACTAGCTTTTTCATTATGTTTTTGATATTGAGAGATCCTTTCTAAATTATTAAATATGGTTGTTATTGAAATTGGAGCTAATTTCAGAGACTTTTAGAAAAATGTGCCTTTTTTCACAGTTCCTTAGCAACTCCTCTCTGAGAGGCATTGAGGTGGTCTGGTTCACCCCATTTTTATTATGGAAATTATGAATGTCCCCTTTTTAGGGTAAAATACCCAGCAATCTTTCCAAAAAACTGGGAGACAAAGGCCCCAGCCCAGTATTATCCTTTCTTCCCCCTCTCCTGAAGCATTTTCCAGTGAGGATGCTGCTGAGGGGTCCTTACCTCATGAAGGGCTGCAGAGGTGCAGACGGGCTGCTTGGTTGCCCCCTGGTGTCTGTGCCAGCCTGGTTCACTGGGAGCGAATTGGGAATTAGGGGCAGTTGCAGGGAAGCTGGGGGCTTTGTCTCCTTGTGACTGTAGCTTTTAGTGCAGCCTCTCTTTTAATGAAACCTGTGCAGGAAGTGTGTGCGCACGCACGCAGGCACACGTGTGCTGTTTGGAGTTTGTGATTTGATTTGACTTTTTTTAATGTCAGTCACCTTTTCTCCACTTGCTGGGGAGTGAAAGTGAATTACAGAATTCTTTGGAACTAGAGTTTAATGATTCTTCCATCCTTTCCTAGGAGCCTCAAACAACTGTTGTCCATAATGCTACAGATGGCATAAAGGTAAGGGATGGGAGTGTTGCCAGAAAAACCTGTGCTTCTCTCTTGTTCTTGTCTTCATGTGTCTTAATTCAGTTTCTACCTTTCCAATGTCTGGTTTGTAGCATTCTCCTGAATACTGCTGACAATAGACTAGGAGGGTTGTGCTATATGGCTGTGGATCTCTGAAAGAGGCTGAATAAAGACAACTACTTGTTCAGATAGTAACACATCTTTCCTATTGTGGTGTATAACCAGCACTCTCTTTCATATGTGGGATGGAAGAGGAGATATAGGCACTTAATAATTTTTTTTTTCCTTCTGCAAATGGACACTTCCTCTGAGAAAGCCTAGCAGCCCTTCTTTAGCTTCTTGTGGCTATTCTTCCAAAGAGAAGCAACTCTCATTAGATTTAATTTGACAGAGCTTGGTAACTTTCACACTTGTAAAAGTTCTGGGTTAAGAGCTCGAACATGTAAAAGCTGAGCAGAGATGCTGTTACATTATGCTTTGTATTTGGCCTGCTTACATTCAAATCTTCCTTGTATCATCCTCTCCCTTCCATCCTTGCCAACATTTTTGTGCTTTTCCCCATCTTTCTTCACAAAGAAATCAAACTATTTGCTCATTCTCCCAACTGCTGATGGTTGGTAATGCTCTGTTCTGCCATGCAGGGTTCCACAGAGAGCTGTAACACCACAACTGAAGATGAGGATCTGAAAGGTAGGTATTTTGCCTGTAATTTCTAATACAATTAAGTGTAGGCAAGGGATTCTAGAGATTCAATCATTGCCTTGAACTAGCTTCCCAGATTTCTGTGTCTGACTCAGCTCATAAATTCGCCATGACGCTGTCATTCCTGTCACAGTGGGACCGAGCATTGGAGAACCATCTGACTTGGCCTCTGTGGTATATAAACACTGAGCTAATTTGTTTTTGTCTCAGAGTTGGAATTCTTTTCTTGCACATATCATAATCTGTTCATTTCCAGTCCATTTCTAGGTATGAAAAATACCCTACCAGTCCCTAGAGGTTTGAACTCTGCTTGTGTTTTTGTGCTTCCCTGTAGATTACAGAGAGTTGAAACCTCTCTGTTACCACTCAGTCTCCCTTTTCACCCCTTTCTGGGAATATCTATTGTGACATGCAAAGACTTCCCTTGTTATTTTTCTCTTTGGGTCTATTTTTTTTCTAAGATGAAGATCATTCTCAGCCTGTTGTCCTTGACTGAGATATCAATAGAGGAAGAGGCTGAGAAGAGATACCATGCCTTTCAGTGACCATATCATAAATATTGTGTACTTGTAAAACTCTTTAAATTAAGGAGCTCCAAGTTCCATATCTGCTTGTGTTGTTTGAGCAGCTATCTTTTGCCTAACCCCCCCCCCAATGAAGGAGGAGCAGACTTTTTCCTGAATAAACAAGTTTGAGATGGATGACAGTAGTTTGCATTCGGGGAAAAATGTGTTAATAACTTGCATTTTGAAGCAGAGGTATTCGCATTCTCCCTCTAGTTCATTTGACTTACATAGCCAGGGAAAAATCAGTGCTGACCCTGTGATGTAGCAGCAATGTCACCGCTGCCAGTGGGGTAGTTCCTGATGCTTTTCCCATGGCTTGTCACAACCTGTTGGCTTCTCTTCTGAGGAATCATGGGGAGCAGAAACACATGTGAGTGAATGAGCTCTGCAATACAGATTGTTTCAGATGAGATCTGGCCTCATTACAGGACAGTCTTTTAGCTCCTACCTTTTTGCCCAAGAGTAAGCCGTGGTTTAAGAACCTGCTTTGAGGGACAGGAACTGGATGGATTTTGTAGTGCAGTAATAAATTTGATTTATCATCTCTGCTGGATAGCCATCCAAAATGGGTATTGTCTCCTGTGTACTTTTATTTTGGAGGGGTCCCATGGTTGAGCTAGCTGAGCTGATGAGTGTTGTAAGTCAGGAATACAAATGTTGCAAGGAAAAGTCTAGGACTGGAATAGAAGGTGGGGAGGAAGGAATGCAGCTGGTCAGTGTACAGAGTTGTGTAGGGCGACATTGCTACAGATCAAAACTGTGTTTTGGGTTTTTTGGCAGAGGTTAGAAAATTTTGTTACAATTTTAATAGAAGGGAGCATTTGAATGGTGATTGGGAGGGAAAGAGTTTGCACAGTAGTGGTTTGTGCTATGGCCAGCTCTGGTAATTTTAGTCCTCCAGTTTTAAGTGTAGCTGTGTTCACCAGTGTTCTTTTTCCATTCCTGCTCTTCCACATTTTAAGATAAGCAAGCACTTGAGCAAAACTAAGTAGATCAAAAGGTTTGGGAGTGTTGAAGTTCTCAGCGTTCTGTTATAGCCGTGACTCTCGGAAAAAGGAAGTGCCTGTACAGTTCCTCTGCCCACTTCTTTAAAACTTCTTGTTTTAAATAGACACCAGGATGCACAGATCAGTTCTGCTGTGCTGTAGGAGACGTTATCTTTATCCATCAGTGACAGTTGCCTCAGGGATATGTTGTTTCCAGTGTGGTGGGGCTAAAGGCAGTGTGTGTCTTCGTTCTTCCTCCGCCCCCCTGCCCTTGTGTCATTCTAAATTGCACAGCAGGTTCATGTTGTCGAGCTGTCTACTTGGCTTTGCCCTGGAGGATACTCCTGCATGTTTTGTGCCCAGCATTGTGGTTTCTTTAATGTTCTCCTATTTGCTTTCTCTTTTTTTATTTACTGAACTTGCGTGTTTTGTTTGTGTTTGTGTTTTAATTCCCTGCCATGCTAGCTCCCCCTCTCTCCACCGGGGACGGCAGCTCAGTGCTTGAAGGACGGAGGCACAGTGAGAGCAAAACACAGACTGAGTCCATGCAGTCCCAGCTTTCTCTCTGTTTCTCAGCCAGTAAGTCCAGGGGTGCAGTGCTTCACAGCATCTTTTTCTCACCCCTTCCTCCACCCTTCTCATTTCTCCTCACCTAAGATTTTTCCTTTCCTCAACTTCCTTCCAAAATGTTGATTTTCCATTTCCAGTGTTCCAAAAAAAAAAGAAATCATCTCCCTTCCTGCAAAATACCCTCCTTTGCACACTGAAATTTTCCAAACATTTCCTTCCCTTTCTGAAAATAAAACAAACCACCAAAACCCAGAACCTTATCCTAGCTAATTTCATTCCCTTGCTTTCATCTGTGTGAGATGTGGAGCTCTCTGCAGAGACACTGCCTTTTGGGGTTTCCTTGGGCAAGTCACTGCATCTCTTACTTTTCCTTGTGGTTAATGGGGTTAGTGGTGCAGGTCTGCTTATGGAGGGGAGACTGAATTCAGTCTCACTTATCAGAACTTCTCAGGACCTTAGCTATGGATGGTCCTCAGAAGTACCAAAGGAACAAAACCCAGTATTTTCAGACTTAGGTGCTTTGAAAGGGAGGCTGTGGCTCCTGAAAGATCCCAAAGCATTTTTGAATCCATTATCAGGTGTTTGAGTGAAAATCCTGGGATAATGTTGGCTCTGAAGAGCATTTGTCTGTCATGAGCTTTGCCTTGTGTGTTTGCCTTTAGCTCAGTTAGCTGGTACTATAGTTAGTCTATGAGTTATGGTGAGTTCTGAATGATGTCTCCTGAACTTGCTAGCTCTGCAGAGTTTTTCTGCTGAAAAACTCTGAAAATGCATATGAAAAAAGCTATTAGGTTGGAGAAAATCTAGGTGGAATTCTCAGCCTTTCTCCTGCACAGACATACTGTACTAGCTGCCTGACAATTTAAAGCACTAGTAGAAGGATCTTTAGTGTGAGCTAGGAGCATCTGGAGTATTTGATTCTGTTCAGATCAGTCTAGGAAGGAAGAATCAGGCGTGCCCTTCTGTCTCTTCCTGTTGTATTTCCCTGGTTCTCTACACACAGCACCAGTATCTATGTGATACAGCAGTTGGAGCATCTCTGTTACTTGTTTTTGAAGTGTCTCAAAGGATGCCAGACTGCTGGTTTTTAAGGTGCAATTGGAAAGGTGTTTTGCCTAGCCAGAATGGAAGGGAAATGATCTCTTCTGAAGTCTTTTTTGCTGTGAGCTGTCCATCACTGCTATCTTATTAATTCCTTCCTCTTGCTCATAGCAAGGCCCTGCTTGGTACACTGAGGAGTGCCGAATCACTTCTCTGCCAAGTGGGTTGGTATTCTCCCACTTCACTTCCCTCCAAGTTGAGATTTGCAGTGATTTGGATATCCTTACTTTCTTTACCCCCATCTTGTACTTGCCCTTGTGCTGCTGTCACTACTCTGACCACTGTTTTAGGTCTCCCTCAAACTTCCTCCAGCATTGGTGTAATTCCTGCTGTGCTTTTTGCACCAGTGCGCAGGTGGCCCCTGCCAGTGTCTGGCCCAAGTGATGTGACAGAGGCAGGAGAGCAGGTAGAAGTTATTGGGATGTGGATATGTCTGTGTGCTGACTGGGGCTGGGGCTGTGTGTGTCTGTACTTCTTGGTTGGTTTTTATTTTACTTTCTAATTTTTGTCTGTTTATTATTTTAACGCTTACATTTGTTTTGCAGCTACACAGTCTTGTGAAGAGAAGCTCCATGCCTGGGACAGCCCAGGGCAGACATTGGAGTTAGAGCGTGCTCGGTCGGAGCCGTTGCTAACTCCAGTAGTTCCCTTTGTACTTAACCGAGCACCGTGTAAGTTAGCAGCTGGGTAGAAGTAGCGGAATAGTGCAACTCACGCTAGTTACCCTAGATGTGAAGTTCCCTCCTCTCTCCTCCCCTGCTCCTCACCCCGTCCGTCCGAGCCGGGCCGGGGCCGAGCGCTCGGCGCTGCCGCCATCGGTCCCGGCGGGCCCGCGGCCGCAGGAGCCGGCTGCGGCGGCGGCGGCGGCCGCCGGGGGGCGCCACGCGCGGCCCGGCCCGCGGCGGGGACGGAGCCGGGCCCGGCTCTGCCCGGCCGCGAGCGGCGCTCGCCGAGCGCGCCCGCAGCGCTCCCCGGCCGGCGGCGGCCGCTGCGGCGGGGCTGCCGCCTGGGCTCGCACAAAGCAGGGTGAAGCAGCCGCGGGCGTGCTCGGTGACCGTGCATGTCGCCTCCCGCTCTGCCTCTGCCGTGCCAGTTTGGGGGACCCGCGGATTCATCGGGAGCGGCAGGCGCGAATGCCGCCCCCTGGACATCCGCAGGCTCTCTGTCCTTCGGACAGACTGGTCACCTCCCGTATGCCCGTCCTAGCTCACGTGTAGTGAGAGCCAAGAGACAGCACAGTCTGATGGGGTGCACCAGTGTTGAAGGACGGCCCTGATGTCCTTCAGGCATCAAGGCTCCTTGGAAGGGGATGCAAATTTCCTTAAGATGAGCCAGCACACCGTGACTGTGGACTGCAGACTCCCTCACTCATCCCAGATGCAGCCTTTCCCATGCACTCCATCCTCTGGACATTGGTGGTGCATGGTTTCGAGGTACAACTAGTAGCCCTTCATGTGAAAGTAGTCCCAGACAACTTGCTTGTAAGGACATTTTTCACAACAGACATAGCCTACTGTATTGTTTTGACCCATTCCCTGTGTACATCTTTTCACACGTGGAAGTGTAGCCTGCATAGTAAAACCAGACACCCTATTTTTATGAGCCGGATGTCCCCTGTCTGAGGGGTTTCTGAGGCTGACTGAGTGGTAAAATTCTCTTAACTAATTTCCAGAGTGGGTACAGACAACTTTCATGGCCAGTGAGATTATTATCTTGTTGCTCTTTGGCTGCACTTACCAGTGGCAGGATGATATGCATGGGCAAGGGGGAGAGCAGTTTAGAGCAGCATCTTCTGGCATTCAGAATGGAATTCAGCTTCCCTGACTTGAACATCTAAAGGTGGTAGGTTGGATTTAAACACCATCCCCCTAATGATAGGCATCTAAGATGCCTATGTGAGACTTCCCAGAAGTCCTAATTTGTTTCAGGGCCCAAAAGGAGAACAGTCAGGGGACTGGTTCCATTTCAGACACCTATATTTTAGATGCTGAAGGGTACAAGAATGGTACTTTTAGTGGTAGGAATTGTACATTATCTGATAACATTGAAAAGAATGCTAGAGAACCTCTTAAATGCCTGTATAATCTGCAGAAGAGTCTACCTACAGCTGTGGGGTAGGCTGAAGAAATGTGAGGTTGTGCATATAGGCTCAGGCATAGGTATGGTGCACATAGTAGTCATAGAATAGAATTTTGTTTCTATTCTATAGAATACATAGGTTTAACATTAGGTCTGTTAAACCTATTTAACATAGGTTTAACAGACCTAATTGAAACTTTGTAAATATTATTGATTCTTGAGACCAGCATGGATGATGGAAGGCTGCAGAGGGGAAGGGGCCTGGGCAATCTGCTGTGGAGAACTAAGAGAAGAGAGTGCAGAGGTGCTGGCCACATGGGGGCCAAACAACAGTAGACAGACAGCCCTTGTCTTCATACATCTTGAAGTCCAGTGTGCTGGGCTGGCTTACTGGCAATGCTGTCAGAGTGCTGTAAAGAATTGTGCCATAGGAATTGGCAGAAGCTAAGTGCCTGAGGAGCAGTGCACTCTCAGACATAACTAGGTCTCACTCATCCAACCTGTCCATCCTGCTGCCATTATCTTTCTAGCTTGCAGAAGCCATCCCTACATGTCCCAGTTGCTTGTTTGCAGCATTCACAATAGCTGAGGTATTGATGATGGTGACAGGCAAGTTGTTGGGAGACTCTTTCCAATTGGCTTGATCTCTGTGGTCATTTTTATATGGCTACTGTGGTGAAGGTTTTCCACATCTTAAGCTGCCAGACAATTACTTCACATGGGCAGGGCCACTGGCATTCATTGGTCAGACTCCCCAGAAGCAGCTCTGGCTGTCATTCAGGAGACACCTCTGGTGCCTTAGACCTTTCTAGAAGAAGAAGAAAAAAATTATCTCCTTATTTCCTTTCTCCGTGCATTATGGGGTCACCATTTCCCTTTCATACCACTGCCCCCCTGCTCTCATGTGGATGACTGTCTTAACTGCATATCTCCAGAATGCAGGGAGCAGCATCCTATGAGATCTAGACTAATGGTGCTCTACAAATTGCTTGTAGGAAGCACCCACTAGCCTCATACTCCTGCTGAACTCTTCAGCACAGCTAAATTGCTCTTTCTTCTTGTTCACAGTGCGTAAGCAAGAGATCATTAAGATAACAGAGCAGCTGATAGAGGCCATCAACAATGGAGATTTTGAGGCTTATACGTAAGTAGAGATGTTTCTGACAGGTTGTTTATCAGTTTGTGTGAAAGTAATGTTCTGACACCTGGGTATGAGCTGTCATGCAGTCAGGGATGGTAAAAGGTTTTATCCTTCTTAGCCTACATCAGTTAGGAGTAAGAGATGGAGTAGTAGAGCTCTAAATAAATATCAAGTCAGGCAGCAAACAGCAACAGGAGCAACAACAGGAAAATATCTTGAGTTTGTAAGAAAAGTACGGGGAGGGCAACAAGAAGAGCAGAAAGAGAATAAAAGGAAAGTCGGTAACCTAGAAATTTATTTCATGTGAAATGTCATCTAGTTGGCTCCTTGAGTTACAGTAGGGCTGAGTCTTCAGGAACTTCTTGGAATAGGGAGATGTAGTTAGGTGGACAGAGGGTGTGAGTCAAATGGCATACCAGCACTTCACTGTGTGAATAGCGCTTGGAATCAAATGCAAACTGTAAACCTATGCTGCTTTTCTTTGCAGAAAAATCTGTGATCCTGGCTTGACCTCATTTGAACCTGAAGCACTGGGGAACCTGGTTGAAGGAATGGATTTCCATAAGTTTTACTTTGAAAACTGTGAGTGGGTAGATTTGGTAACTCAAACACCTTTCTCTCTACTCTTCATTTATGTCACATTTATGGGGAAAAATTGGCCTTGTTTTTACTGGTTATCAGAATAAGAAGGAGCTTGATTGTGCTTGGGTTATGATGCATTCATAAAAGCCAGCAGCCTTTCTGTCAAAATGCCTGTTCAGCAACAATTTCAATTCTAAACCCCATGCCTTCACTCTAGGCATACAATCTGCCAGGTGGAAATGTTTTGTACCTGGCATAGACTGCAGGGGCTTTAAAAGTTTGACTCACTGTACTTACTGATATGAAAATGGAAAAAATGATCAAATTTGGGTGGAAGCAAGATGTATGTTTGGGGTAAACATACACAATGGCCAAGCATAAAGACGCTTTTGCTTTGAGTTTCCCTGGATGGTTTCAGATCTCTAACACCTAATGAGACGTCTACATAGATATAAGGGTCACCTTGTCAGCCTGGGGCAGGAAAGAGTTGGGAGAAATGCTATCATTTATACTATGGGATTTGTCTCCCTTCCTGGATGTCTCCACAGGATGAGATAATTGAAATTTAAATCCTGAGCTGTTCAGTCTGTTTTATTTTGGGGGTTAGATGAAGGTCCTTAGTATGGGCAGTATGTAGTACTCTATGCAGAGACTTTGTCTCTCTCAACAGCCTATTATAGAGTGATTTTAACTCTTCTCTGAGGTTTGTTCATATTTAATGTGTCCTAGCTTAAAAATCTCCTGATTACTGACTCCTTTGCAACAATACTTTGTAAGTGAAAGACCTTTCCCCATAACTGAAGACACAGCAGCAGAGGCAGTGGGGGCAAAGGGGTCAGGGGATTCCTGGCAGTAAGTGTGCAATTCCTAAGGAGGACAACAGGTGATAGGGGTAAGAACTGCTTGGATTTTGCCTGAAAAATTGCAGGAGCAATTTTTGTAGTATTCCAGAATCCAGTGGAGGGTGATTAGAATATAGAAGAAGTTGGAGAATATGGGATGCTGTTCCTTCTTAGTTGTAAAATGAACCTGATGGTTTTGCATGTCCTGCCAGTACTGTCGAAGAACAGCAAGCCAATCCACACGACCATCCTGAACCCCCACGTCCACGTCATCGGGGAGGACGCCGCCTGCATCGCGTACATCCGCCTGACGCAGTACATCGACGGCCAAGGCCGGCCCCGCACCACGCAGTCGGAGGAGACCCGTGTCTGGCACCGCCGAGATGGCAAGTGGCTCAATGTCCACTACCACTGCTCTGGAGCTCCTGCAGCACCTCTCCAGTGAGGATCTAATACGGGTATGGATTCTCAGGGGAGGAGTACATCAGAGCTGAGCCTGCTGTATGTGGGAATTCAGCATTCAAGGCTGTTTAGCTGGCTGTGAGAGAACCATATTTAGTTGTCTGTAGGGCTGAAAACTTCAGCTTGTAGATGGTGTTCCTTTAAGTCCTGTTCTCTGGAATCAATAGGTTTATCTGCCACTCCTGACGAATGAGAGTCATGTGCCAGACAGCTGTTCCTGGGCATAGGTACCCTTGTAGCAGCTGTGCTTCTTCCCAGGTGCTCAGGTCTGTGCTTGGACAAACAGCTAATCTGGAGCAGAGAGGAAGAGTATCTCATGCTGTGCACAGGTTGGCCCCCTTTCACATCTACGTTTCCATGCTGGGTATCTCATGATGTGCACAGGTTGGCCCCCTTTCACATCTACGTTTCCATGCTGGGGATCATTTCAGAGGACTTTTTTGATGATTATGTCATCTATAAAGGATATTGTAGAATCCATACAGAATAATTTCTGTGCCATAAGGGGTAAGGGTTTATTCATATAAATTTTACCATTGATTTTCTGATGAGCAAAAGCTATTTAATGTACCACATTGAGAAAACTCAGGGGAAAGGAATCTAAACAAGTAGTAATATCAGAGGATTTAAAATACCCCCAATTAACTTGCCACAATTCATAATTTGAAGAAACTTTGACTCTAAAATATGTCATAATGAAATTATTGTTCCTTGCTCCTGAAGGACATCAGATCCATTTATTTCTTCAGCATTAAGGCATTCTGGTTTATTGCTTCAGTGATCTCTTCTAATTAGATATACAAAGTCTTTCTGCATCCTTTTGGTTTATGCTGAAATATACATTACGTTCATTTTATAACCCGAAGTTTCCTAATCTTAGGACCTTTTTACTAAGTATTTTATATTTAAATGCAAACACAACAAATATTTTCAACTAGGAGGCAATCTTTTTTTAATGTGGGCATTTAAGGATGAACTACTCAAGTATAGTTGCTACTTGAGTCCTAGTTCTGTGAACAACTTGGTACTAAGCCAAGAGCAGTTTGTAGTCATGTGTTGTGAGGTATTCAATCCTACTGAAGGCGCTGAGAAGGAATGTGAACTATCACAAGCAAGCTGCAGAGGTCACAGATGGAATTTGAAAAGCAGAAGCCAGTTGGGGGCACCAGAAGCAGGGAAGCTTTCAAGGGAGCTGGAAAATCAGCTGAATTTCCAGGGAATAAGGTAATGAGAAGGAAAAAGCCTTTGAAGGAAAACAAAACAAAACAAAAAAAAACTTGGATCTGATTTCATCACAGAAATGTTGAGGGAGACATCTGTCCTGGATTTGGATGTTTGTCCAAAAAAAGATGCAGAATAAATTATTAAATTACAGATCAGCATGGCTCAGTGGCTATGCCTAGGACTTCTGAGGAAATTTAGGAATGGAAAGTCTGCTGCAGATGAGGTATGTTTCTTGGCTGTGGAAATGCTGAAGCCCTCCAAAAGTATGTGCTGGAGGGTTTCTGAAAACTGCAGAGCAGAAGGTATTTCCAAACCATAAAATGTTGGTTAAAGCAATATTTAAAAATACCCTGTAAACTAATAGAACTTGGAGTATTTGCATGCATTTCTGGGTTCTGAAGGAGGTATACCCACAAGCAATTACAAATGAGGTCAGTGTGGGCAGCCCCCATCTGAATGCACTGAATCATTTTGGAGTCGTGTTATCCCATGTGCAGTGAAAGCTAAGGCTGAAGAATGAATGGGGTGACTAAGAATGCTTAAATAGAAATTAGGGGTTTTTTCTCACCTGGAAGGCAGAATTCAGTTCTGGGTAAATCATCTCAAAACAAAACTGCAGCCAGAAAAGAAGTTTGATGTTAATCAGAGGACTTCTGTTTAAGGAGAGAGTGGGAACCAAGAAAGGAGATTTATAGAGAGATTGTGCAAAGATTTGCAAACTGGTAGAAATGGTAGAAAGAAGGGTTTGGCTATACTTTGATGACAGGATAATGCTAAACAGACCTCAGACTTAATGAAAAAACCCGACTTAAAACTGATCAAGATAAATCCAGTAATTTGGCACCTGAGGGCTAACTAGGAAGGGCCTTTGCTAAAAACAGTCACTAGGGCTACCATTTCACAAAACTGCAGAGAAGCTCATACATTTGTTTAAATATTAAGTAAGTTCAGAGACAAAATTACTGAAGAAAAATAAAAACCCTAAGAAATATATAATTATCTTTCGGTTCAAGGCAAAAGCCAATGGAAAGTGAGGGAGAAAATGTTCCTTAGGACCAGAGCCTTTGAGTACTCCTTAGGAAACTTCTTCAGCGTCTGGGTCATGGCTGTGAGAGGGTGGGATCAGGGCTGCTCCAAAGCAGCATGTAATACATTTTAGCAATTAGTTAATTTTCACTGGCACTCTCAGCCACCTGGAAGGGGAAGTGAGTGCCTCTTACCTTTAGAGGTCTCCTCATGAGCCCCAGTTTGTCTTGTGTTAGGGGGTTCTACCTACACCAAATAATTAGCCTGTAGAAAACTTCTTTTTTTAATTGTGTACAGCTAATGTATGGCTTTATTTCCTTCCATCTTCCATCCTGTTCTCCCCTCTCTTTTCTGGGTGGACACTACCTCTTCCTGACTGCAGCAACTTGTGGAGATACTCAGCTGGAGGGCAATATCTTCTTAGCAAGCAGCTCTGGAGTGCCTGAGTGACAGCAACGGTCATGTCTGTTTTGACATTAAAAAAATAAATACAAATTACAAACAGGCAGCAGCCAAATGCACGAAACCCTGCATGCATCTGATGCTCCGGGCACTGCCTTTCTGTTGTTTTCCATGGATCCATCGTGTCTGTTTCTGCTGTACGAAGGTGTTTTTAAATCTAAAAAAAGACATGTTGTTTGTATAAAATAATAAAAAAAACAGGAATAATGCTAAATAAATGACAGATTATCCAACATGCCCCTTCCCCCAGGGCTAAGAAAGTGGCAGCAGCCAGAACATCTTTCAGAAATGAAGTGAGGGGGAAAGCAAAAGTGAAGGAGAGAGAGAGGGAGAGCAAGAAAGGAGGCAGCTTGAACAGCGGATGGCTGACCCGTGCTCCGCAAAGCGATGGTGGAAGTTAATACCACATTCGGGCTGTGCTGCAACTACAGTCGGTGAGAGGTGGCAAGGAGACCCCAGAGGAGCCAGTGTGAAGACTGGGGTTCAAGAGAGAGGAGGTGTTTCTCTTCCTGTTGCCCAGCAGTCTGACTTCAGCCTGTTTCTTCTTCGATTTCTGCACAGCAAGAACGCTATGGAGACCTGGTTGCTCGGCTGCTGGATCCCAAAACAGACTTTTCTTTTTTTTTCCTTTTTATTTTTTAAGAAATAAAAAAAAATGGAATGTTGATTTAAAACTAAAGATGGAAGTAGGGATTTAAAAATGGGTTTAAGTTTAAGTAACCCATTATTAACCCAATTAATTAACTTGAATAGAAGCTCGCTCTTTAGTGATACTGGTTTTAGAAACAGCCACTACCTGGAAAAACATGGAGTTTTGAAGCCAGCTTATTTAATTTAACAAAATAAAAAACATTTCATTAAGAGCAGAGGTTTTAGAGGAAGAGGGTATTTGTATGGGATTTTCTATTTTTTTTCTTTTTAGTAGCCTAGTTGGGATCCACAGTGCTGCAGAACACATGTTCCTTAGGAAGCAGACAAAAAACTTAGTGTTATGTTCTTCATGAAAACTTGCACATACACTCCTATATGAGGCATAAATAGCGTGTGTTTTTTATACTGAAATATATGCACCCGTAGAATTAAAGGGGTTACCTGGCCTCCTGTATGATTTGTTGGTCTCCATTAAAATAGCAGTGGGAGCCAGCAGCCCCAGCCAGGTGCTTCTCCCCACCACTAACCCATCTGATGTTTGTAAGTGTCATGTTTCCTAGTGTTTATTTGGGTAATTTTTCTATTTTTTACAGTGATGTTGTAACGCAGAAAACTATCAGAACCTCAAAAGCTGTAGCTGAAGGAATCCAGGCCACCTCCCACCCCATGTTGCCTCTGGGTGTTAGAGGATACCTCATGAAGCAGAGGGGAAAGGGAATGAACACGTGATCTGATGTTTGTCCTTTGGGCCAATTCATCTTCCTTTCTTTTCTTTGCTGCAAAAGGAGTTGAATTCCTTTATTCATTGGGTGGGAGATATGGAAGTGTTTTGTTGACCTTACCAAGGAGAGAGCCTAGCCCCAAGAAGAAAATGGCCTTTCTGGCAGACCTGATGGGATTTGTCTTGACCAAGGGAAAGGCATCACTTGCAGAAGTTGGAATGGGCTTTTACCTGAACTTATTTACCCCTAATAATTTTAGGATCTCTAGAAAGAGTTAAAATTATTTCCATGACAGCATACTAAGTGTGTGGCAATCTTTTAGAAGACTATAGAAGAGAAGAAAGACAATTTGGAATTTTAATCCTCATTCAACAAAGTGCAGAAAATAAAAGCTGTTGCACAAAGTGGAGCTGTCACTTTGCAGCAGATAGTGCTCTGCTCCCTTTATTGGAGAGGTGTTGTCCCATACCAGGATTAGATCAGCAAACCACTCATGAAGGAAAAGACCATCCACACTTCCCAGGTTTATTTGAGCAAACACCTTTTTCTTCCTCCCTTTGCTATCCTATGGGAGGAGTGAGGAGGGATTGAATCTATGGTGGGGCAAACACTAGATTTTATTATTTCAAAACATTTTAAAGACAGGGACTGAAGTGGAAAAGTAAAAAGCCTTGATATTTCATTCAGAAAAAATTTTAAGCCACAAAGAGAGCAGATTACAGTTATGCCACTTAAAAAATATAAATACAAAACATTATGCATGCCTTCTTTTGGTCTGATCTTCCTTGTCTCTTTACCTGATAATTAATAGTTAAAAAAGAGAACCCTCTATATAAAGTATATGCATCTTTCAGAGAAAATTTTAAAAGAACAGAACTGTTGGTTTTTTTGTTTTTGCACAGTCTTGGAGACAAACTCTTTAGAATTTTTTTTTTTGTTTGTTTCCTTTTAAGTTAATGAGAACCGTAGCTTGGTATGGCCATTATCAAACACAGCTGTACACCTTTAGCATTCTTAATGTTCTCTTATGGGGCTAATGTAAGCATCTATATAATATATATTATAAATATCACATTTTAAACAGGAAATGGAAGGCATTTGATGCAGAATTTTTGCATGATATAGAAATAAATAAAGTTAGCTAGTGTTTGTTTGTTTGGTCTGAATGTTGGTAGAACCTTCATAGCTTTGTTACAATGAAACCTTGAACCGAAGATATTTAATAAAATAACATTTAAACAGTGTAAAGTTTGGAGTGTCACATTATTCTCCTGAGCAATACAAAATTGGTACTTCTGGGATAAGAATCCATTGACAGAGGAGATATTTTTTTCCTGTGTAATTTAAAAATGTAATGTTTAAAAAGTTAAGTGGTACCATACTTGAAAGGGGAGAGGGGAGAATACTAGCATTAAACACAAAAGGATGACAGAACCTGTTAAAATTACCTTTATGTCATTTCACTGACAGACCAGGGATAACAGGGAAATTCTGCTTTTGTTCCCAATAGCCTGATCCTTGGCAAATCTATGGTATTACTTCCTTTCCTGGTCTTTGTTTTTCTCACCAATATTTAAGCTTTTTCTTGTAGGAGAAGCTATCTTGCTATTTGGTTTGCCTGATGTAAACGTGCTGACCTCAAGTTGTGTGACTTAGTTATTTGTCAACTAGTGTATTTTGTGTCCTAGCTGGGATGTTCCTGCAGAGGCACAGAACTCGTCAGGCCTAGCAGTGTAAGCATAATTTCTTAAGTTAAAAGTTTGCTGAATTTAACTTGTTTTGGTTTTATACTGCCTCTTGTTGTTAGCATTTCACGTATGCCCCATTAGGTAGGCTTTGTTCCACTCAGGCCTCTGCTGCTTTGCCGTTTCTCACACACTGGCGCGGGTGTGTGGGACACCGGGCTTCTCCCCTGTGCTACCACTGGCCCTGTGGCTGGCACAGGTCCTGCCGTGGTTGTGCGGGGGACACAACATCTGGTTTTGCATCTGGTTTTGGCACTGGCTGCAGCAAAGGGGCTCTAAGCAGCACTTCGCCCCTCCGCTTAGCAGGCCTGGCTGGCCTCCATCCCCCTGAGCTCTTCCCAGGTGAGGGGGTGGCTTTGCCTTATCACTGAAAGCGAGTTCATCGTGCTTGATCCCCTTTAACTGCAGCAATTATCCAGTAAATAGGTGTCAGCTGTTGCTGCTTAGAGGGATGATTACTTTTGCTGCCTGATGAAACAAGGAGGAAAAAATCGTCCTTAGTGTGTAAAGGGAGAAGGTAAGAGTTTTATAGTCTGTTTTACTGGGACTAAAGGCAACCTGTTCGAACCCAGAAGAAGTTACTCCTGCTATTTCAGGAGCAAAGAGACGTTTTGCTCTCATTTTTGATATGAGGCAGGAGCATTCATCAGGTAAGGTTTCTCCTGAAGCAGTTAATCCTGCCTTAATGATCTTTGAAGATATGTTGCAGTATGAGCCGATAAGCACTAGGCAGGTACTCATAAAATTAGTTGTGATATCCCATGTTCTTAGTAACTGTTTTAACTGGGATAAGAGTAATTTAAACACTTGTTGAAAGTGAAATAGTCAGACTAGCACTCAGGTCAAGAATATTTATTGTAGCATATATATGGGGCCTGTTTTATGTCTTAGGTTTTATCTGACAGCAAGGATTTGGAGTGGTACTTCCCTCCATTGTAATAGCTCCAGTATTGAGCTATCAAACAGGGATATTCCCAGAACCTTATTCCCAGTATGCTATTTAAAATCTGTTCAGCCTATTAGATGAAGTTTTGCCATCTTCCTACTGAAGACAAGTGTTGAGCATGGTTTTTTAAGTTCCCTTCCAATTTATGCACATACATGATTTTATACATAGGTGGATTACTCTGTGGGAGACCTGTAGTTGATGGTAGCTTTTTTTTATGCTATGTAGATTCCTTTTAAAGATTGCTCTGCTCCCACTTGCTGGGCTAGTGGCACAAAGGATGCTCCTATGCTTATAGTATCGATGAGATGTGGGGAGAAGCACGGACAGAACTGGACCCTAAATGTCAATATCCTTTCCATTTTGTTGTGACAATTGTTACCTCTTACTTATGTGTAATTGATAACATAGAAAAACAAACAGAGCATTTGACTAATGATTAGATTTGTGATTTGGTTTGGGGTTTGCTATGGCTTTTCAGGGTAACTGCAGATAGGCTAGCTGTGTGCTCTGTGCTTCAGCTTTCCCATTTGTACATGCAGATGATAAGCCTCACCTCTGTAGAAACCTCTGTAAGGGACTGATGAACAGTGCTGCAGAGAAGCTAAGGTGGTATTGCTGCTACACATCACAGATGTTTGTGTTTTTTGCCTGAGAATTTGAAAGAACTGCAGATTAATGCACCTGGAATGCTTGGTTTATTTAGGTTTGGTATATGTTTATTTAAGAGTAGAGAAAGGTGATCCTTTGGGGGCACTTAAAGCAACTTGAATGGAGGATTATGAATTTTTCCCTTGAGATCCTTAGTGCCTGAGAACAACTCACCTGCCAGAATGTCCTGTTTGCCTGCTGATAAGGAATAGGAATTTACTGTTTGGTGTGTAGTATTCTAAAGAATTTTAAGCCAATTTCTTATGTACTTAACAAGTATTAGAAAACAAATATGTTTGTAGTTTTTAAGGCAGACTGGCTACAAGGAAAGAATGGATATTATTAAATTAATAAAATTTCAATCTGAAAGTTTTTTTGTGCTACAGGAGGGTCCTTTAAAGCACTGGTGGATGGGAGAGAGGGAAAGGTGGTTGTGCCCAATTTGTTGCAATTTATATAATTGAACCATAATTATCCATTAATGGATGGGCAGGATGACATTTATTCAAAGAAAACCATTTTGTTAATGCATCATACGACTGCATGTTGGCAGACTTGGATTTTGGCAGTACTTGGAGTGAAATACTGTCTCATCATGGTTTATTTCTCCTTCACGCTTCTGTGGGAAAGACTAGTGCTCATACCAAGGGAGGACAGCCTGCAAAAATGGCACCAAGGTCTGCTTCAGAGGCTTGTTTTACATTGGAATGTGCTGTAGGTTACATCAGTAGTCAGAGCAGTGATACTGCTGTATGGTTGTTCCTGTTCCAGAAAGCACTTGTTTGTTTGTTTCTTGCTACATGTCTAATTCAAAAATAAGCTGAAAAAATTACTTATACAAAAAATATATGTTCTATTAAAGTGACATTTGAAATTCATTGCTTTAGATTTAGCATATTTTTCTTGTATTAAAAAAGGCCCAAACTTGGCGCAGATAGTCTTAAATGTTTTTAAGAACTGTAAACAGATTTCAGTCTTGTTCATTCCAAAACAGTATTAATGCTGAAATTGTTTTCTGTATGGTAAGTTAGCAAGTTTTAACACCTTCTAATCTGTTAGAATATGAGTAAAAATCTTCCATACCTCTTACAAAGACTATATTGAGCTTCAACAGAAACAGCAAGACATTTAATCTTCTACTTTGACTTTCCCTTTGGGAAGAAACAGTTTCATTAAATGGAACATCTAGGGAAAGATGGTTTATGTGGCCTTAAGAAGGAGAAATTGCTTCAGTGAAGTGCAATGTTACCAGGGATAGCACATGCTAAGTGAGGTAGGCACAGAGCAATGTGATAACCTGGAAGATGGGCATCGTAAAGCCAAGCATTCAGAGTGGATTGGAGTGTGAGGAAGAGAGTGGAGCTGCAAGATGGGGTTGAAGGTGTCTTGCGAGTAGAGGAACTTACATATGATAGGAGGTAGCTGGAAAGGCAGTGAGGATGGTGGGATGGAGAGTTGTTTTGTGGTGAAATGAGAAGGAAAGCAGGTGCATTCTGTGTTGGTGGTTTGAGGAGGGGTTTGGAGAGATGGGGCATATTTTGGGGTAGTTTCTTCCATGACACATTTAACTAGAGTTTTAAGCTGATACTCTTGCACCTGTATAGCAAACTACAGTGTACAACGTACCCTCCTGTCACCGATTTTCCTCCCTCACTGTAACTGAGATAGGTTAGACTGAGGAAGAAAAATATTTTTTTTTCTTACCAGACTATAAATTTGTACTTTGAAATGGTAAATCCCATTTCACAGAATGTAGTAGTGGATGATAAATGCTGCAAGCACATGACACAAAGTTCTAAGCTGCCACATAGTGCCTCTGTTGGCTCAGATTTGATCAGTTGTTTTGGAAAGTGCAAGGTCTGTGGTAGACTGGGCATCACCTGTTGCTGCCATGCTAGCTTTGGGACAGCTGCAGGCCAGGGGACGATTTTAATCTGATACGAGCACTGTGGCACGTGTTTGGATTAACTCAACAGAAATGCAATCATGTGTTAAAATATGTGCTTCTGGGTGTTTTGGCAGCACAGACCTGTGCGATCGGACTGCAGGTGGTGGGAGCAGCTGCCTCATCCACCTCTGCTGAGGTGGGGGTGCTGTCAGCCAGAGGCAGAACAGGCTTTTGAAGCGTGCTAAGATGTGATTGCTCATAGCTTAGTCTGCTTTTCTTCAGTTATTTGATTCACCTGCTAACATGGGCTTAACAGGCTTGCCGAAGTCTGGTCTGTGCTTCAGATGCAAATTGATTAGCTGAAGATTAAAAAACCTCTATAAATGTGTCCATAAACCATGACTTTTGAGCTTTTTAAACTTTTCAATAGCAGAGCAGGTTCCTGTACAGCAAATCTACATACTGCATTGCCTTTTTGGGGGTTTTCTGAGAATTATTCACAAGGTGCCAGCAATTCTTTGACAGCAGGATGGGAAGCAGTACTTTGCCAACATGAGGCCTTATTCCCTGAGCACCTGCTTTCCCTTTTCTTCTGTCGCTTTTGACTGCTCCAGGTCCCAGTCTTGTTAACCTGTCCTAAATGCTTGCTCTCTGCAGCACGGTGGGTTCTTTCTCCACAGCAGATCCAAAAGCAGGACCGTGTAATAGCACTTCTGGACTACTGTCCACTCCTGCAGCCTCCCTTGAGAATGTTTCTGTGATGTGGCTTCACATCCCATTCTGGCTTTCTACTACAATTTCCGCCACCTCTTTAACGTAGCAAATTGCACCGTGCGTGTTTGTGTTTCTCGGGAGGCTGCTGCCGGCGATGTCACAGCAGTGTCAATCCCTACCTACTGCTTTCCTGGGCATCCCACGCCTTCCGCGCTCCGGGGCCGCGGCCGGTGCCCGCTCCGGGGCCGCGGCCGGTGCCCCGCTCCGGGGGCGCGGCCGGTTCCCGGCGGGCGGGGCGCG